AAAAGTTCTCAGACTTACCCTTTCGACTTTCAGCCATAACTGACCTTTTTTTTGCTATCTGCTCACATAGATACAACACTATAAGTGAACTGCTGCCCCCTTCAGGTTAAGTCATTTACTCGACAAAAATCGACAATGGAAATATTTGTCGAATAATTGTTTGTTGCTCTTTATTGAAATGAGTGCCAATATCAAGCAAAGCATTGTTATTTCGTTCTCTTTCACATGCCATGTGATTTTTTTTTATTGTGTCGCCTTTATTTAACATTTCCCTTTGTAGAAACATTCTAATCTATGGTTCGTTCAGAAGTGTCTACAATAGTAAAGACTGCACTTAATTAAAGGTTATACAGACAGAACATCACCAACTAATTATCTACACAGATACATACTTTGAAAACCACTTTTAACATAGATCTTAACGTAGATTTTTAGCCTGGCCAAGAACACTGAAGTACGGCTCTAATGCCAAAAAAGTTAGGACAGTATGTAAAATGGGAATGAAAAAGTCATTGGTAAATTCTGTTTGAATTTGTATTAAATTGAAAAGACACAATTTCATGTTTTATCTTACGAACTTATATCTTATCTATATTAAATTATACTGCTTTTTGTAAATATACATTTATTCCAAATTTGATGCCTGCAACATGTTCCAAAAAAGTTGGCACAAAATGATATTAACCTGTTGTTGACCTTTAAAGCCTTGCATGGCCTTGCACCTACTTATCTCTCTGCTTTGTTACATCCTCGAGCCCCATCGTGCAAGTTAAGGTCCTCTGATACTGGTCCTCTAGCTGTTCCTAGGTTCAGGCTTTCCGTTAGTGGCAGGTCTTTCAGTGTTGCTGCCCCCAAACTCTGGAACTCTTTACCCTCATCTATTCACTCTTCTACCTCTCTTTCCATCTGCAAAGCTAAGCCAAAAACCTAAAAATCTTTTTTCAGAATGATTTCACCCTCTCTAGTTTATCTTTTTTTCCATTAAATTGTAAAGCGACCTTGGGTATATAAAAGGTGTTATATAAGTCTAACATATTATTATTATTATTATTATGTTTACCACTGTGTTTTATCACCCTTCCTTTTAACAGCACTTGATAATCATTTAGGGACTGAAGACTCAAACTGATCCAGTTTTTAAAGTGGATTTTTTTGCCATTCTTCGGTTATACAAGTCTTCTGCTATGCTACTGTACAGGTCCTTTCTTGTCATATTTTGAGCCCAATGAGACACACATTTTCAGTCTGAGACTGTTCTGGTCTGGTCCTGGCTTTTGAACTTTATGCTGGTAACAGTCTAGATCAGGGGTGTCCAATCTTATCTGCAGAGGGACAGCGTGGCTGCAGGTTTTCACTCCAACAAAGCAGGTGACCACATTATCAAATGTTTGAAGTCTGAGTGTAAGTGATTAAACTAATGGAATCAGGTGTGCTTTAGCTTGTTTGGAGTGAAAACCTGCAGCCACACCAGCCCTTCGTGGATAAGACTGGACACCCCTGGTCTAGACGTTTCTTTTCTTCTTTGGCCTTTGGTCAGAGAACAGAATTATATAGAATTATTATGTCCATAAACAATCTGAAAGGCTTACTCATCAAACCACAATACACGTTTCCCTAAACTGTTCATCAGTCCGTTTCAGATGAGCTTGAGAAGCTGCCAGCATTTCTGGATGTTGTTGACATATGGCTTCCACTGTGCACAGTACAGTCTTAACTTGCATTTGTAGTCACTTAGTTGTAGTTTATTGATAATGGTTTGTCAAAGAACTCCTGAGCCCATGAGGTGATATCACAGAAGCGTATCGTTTTTAGTGCAGTGCTGTCTGAGGGGTTGGAGGCTGTGGTTTTCGGCTTTGTCGTTTACATGCAGATTTCTCTGAATTCCCTGAATCTTTTGTAGTTTTATGCACTGTAGAGGGGGAAATATCTAAAATCCTTGCAATCCCTGGCTGAGGAATATTATTTTTAAACTGTACGATTTTTTCAGATGCACTTTTGGTAAAGTGGCAAGCCTCAAGCCATCATCACTCATAAAGGCCTAGGCCTTTCCTGGATATCCAAGCATAACCGCATCACCTGCTTAATATGTTTTTTGACATTTCACTACATTTTTAGTGTTAAATTACCCCTGACACAAGTTTTTGGTACATGTTACAGGCATCAATTTCAGAATGAATGTATATTAAACAACAATGAAGCTGATAAGGTAAAACATTAAATATCTTTCTACAGTTTTTTTCAATTACAGGTCAAAGTAGATTTAAAAATCAATGCTTTCTGTTTTTTATTTTCATATTTTCATTGTCACAACTTTTTTGGAAATGGGTTTGGACATGCAAATGAAACAAAGAAACTTTGATACATTAGATTTAGTAGAGAGGAAAATGGACAAGCTTGTCTTGTATTTTAGTTACCAACTAAACAAATGTGAAGAACCACTGAATGTTAACAGTGTTACATGCCATCTGTGCAGAACATAGTTATCATTTTGAAAGATTAAGTAATATTAGTAGCTCGCCCAAATGGCAATTATATGATAATTAAATGACCATCAGGGAAAATGCAAGCTATAGGGTAAGGTTCTGTAACACTCACAAGGATAAGTGAAACTGGATCACAGTGATATTGTTTATCATGGTAATTCTGCAGCTGATAGTCCAGTTATTAATTTTTCAGCATCAGAAAAAAATCAGAAAACATATATTAGGCAGAACATTACTAAACTGAACTAAATTTTTTTTATTTATTACTTTATTATAGCTTCCATTCTTTTTGGAGACTTGCTTTCAGTTTTTCAAAGAAATCTTTAAGGATATTCAAAGTTCAGTCCTAGAATTTAGTCTGTCTGTTTGGTTTTGTTTTTTTTGTCTCTTTGGTTCCTTATCTCAGTAACTGCTTCTTCACAGCTACACATCCTTTCAGACCCACAGCGCTGAACTGTCATCCATGGATAGATCACCTGTAGATTTTTTCACATCTAAAGCAAGATCAGAGATTGATTTTCCGCTCTCCTTCTAAGATGCAAGTATTGTTTATCTGATGGCAACAGTTTTTGTGGTCTGCTACGTCTTGCATGGTTCTTAGAAGTCCCATTTTCTCTGTAGCCTCCTGTTTTATCCTTTATTTTCCTCTTACTTTCTCCTTCCTTAGGCGAGTGTATTATCTTACATCTAATCTCCTTAGAAATATCTACTGAAAAAAGAATAACTTGTTCTTAAGGGCTGTTGAAACTGTAAATTAAATAAATGAAGGGTGGTTTCTGACATTTGCACAGTACTGAAACTAGAAGCTTAATGCAGACATGGTCACTTTCCGGCCAGTATTCAGAACGCACAGAGCAGAGGCAGCAGACGTTGAGATGAGTTGAAATCTCTTCCCTCTGGCCCTTCTGGATGTTCTAATTTTGGGTTATCAACTGATGAACATATGTGCCCTCACACACACACACACACACACAGATGCAGACACACATTCAGGCATCACAAGAGCAGATCGTTTATACTGAGGTAATACTGAGACACTCCGGATATGGAACATGTCAAATGGGCTAAATTAGACCTGCCCCAAATAAAGCATCAGGATTAGCCAATTCTGGTAATTGTGTGTGTGTGTGTGTGTGTGTGTGTGTGTGTGTGTGTGTGTGTTGGGGAGGGTGGTAGTCTGCAGTGGACACACATGCATTTTAAATTTGCTCCCCAATCAGAAGAAGAGAAGGTCAGATTCACCCAAAGATGCTAATACTGTGGAACAAAGGAGAAAAAAAATCACCCATGTATCTCCTTCTCCTTTTTTGGCAGCAGTAGCTGTGTCAAAATAATGACTTAGTGTCTCTAAATAATGACATTTTCTCATAATATCTCATAGTATCTTGAAATTATGACTTATTTTCTCAAAATATTGCCTCAGTATCTCAACAAAACAACTTATTTTTCTCAAAATAAAGACTTAGTATCTCAAAATAATGATTTATTTTGTCAAAATATTGACTCAATGTGTCAAAATAATGATTTATTTTCTTTTTAATTGATTCTTTTTACTGCTACATGACAAGTTGGTGGTACTTCATGTAAATAATCAACATGTAATTCAACTCTGTAGCAGCACAACATACATAAACAAACATATAATAAATAAACAACATAAACAAACATTATTTTGACATAGCAAGTCAATTTTTTGAGAGAATATGTAATTATTTCAAAACACTGTCAACATTTTAAGAAAATGAATCACTACTTAGAGATAATAAGTCAAAATTGTGAGACAATAAGTCTGTTTTTATATACAAAGTCAAAATTAGAGAAAACGGATCTCTTACTTTCTCAACACAGCCAGTCAAAAGTCCTAGAAAACAAGTCACTATTTGGAGATACTAAGTAAAAATGTAGAAAAAATGTGTCTCTTACATTTTCAACATAGCAAGTCAAAATTCTGAGAAAATGTCAGTATTTCGAGATAGTAAGTCTTTTGATATTCTGCTGCCAGAACGAGAGAAGCAAGAAAAAACAGGCGATTTGTTTCCCCTCTACCTGCCAGGAATGGCTCCCATCTGATCTACACCAACACTTCCAACCACAAAAACAAATCCCTACCACATTACACACAACAACTAGCCCGAGGAGTGTGTAGGTGTGTGTTTATGTGTGCGTGTGTAGAGTGTTTACGTGACAGAGAGGGAGATATGGAGAGAGATCATTTACTTAGCCTAATTTGTTTATTTGGTTTCTACGTGTGATTATTTCCCAGCCTCATTCATTAAAGATTAATGCCGCAGATTAATACAGCAGTTCAGCACCAAACGGAACCAGAGCGCGTTGCTTTAAGCTGAGCGTTCGCTCGGTTTAGATCTGGGATGCTGGAACCAGCAGGCAGAAACCTGACACACCTGCAGAGCCGCACAGAGGCGGCACAAAAGGAGCAGAGCTGCCGGTCAAACAGCAGCTGCACCACAGCTCTGTCCACAAACCCACAACAATGATGGCCATATTCCCAACACTCACCTCAGCCTCCTCTGCCTTTCTCTCCACAGCGCTCGGCTCCAGAGCAGCCCTTTAAACGCTGTTCCTGCTGTGTTTTCGTCTTTCTCCTCAACCCGCCTGGCCTTCCCCCAACACCTCCTGCTCCCTCAGCTCACGGTCGTGCTGACAGGGTCCGTCATGTCGTGGCCGTCACCGCTGCTGCTGCTTTCCGAGGAGACTGGAGCCCTTAGCGGGGAACAGAGAGAAGCAGCAGCCTCTCCGAGACCCGGCGACGAGGCCAAACTCGTCCGATACGAACGAGCTCTGAGGGGGAGCGACCCGGCACACCGTTTAAAATGGAGGCGCTTCGTCGCTGCCTCAGAGAAACTGAAGGGGCTCGAGCGTGATTCACCGGCGCAAGAGGAGTGTGCGCGCGCGCAGGTGGCGGCTGGCGGCGGCGCGAGCGCCGAGTGCGTTCGGGGTTTGTGGGGAAGTGGGGGGGTGGGGGGTGTGCGCACGCGTATCTGTGTTTCGCCGTTTGTGTTGAACAGATGTCCTCAGGATGCTGAACAACAGGCTGACGTTGTGGGGACCTTCTGACGTCCTGGGGACGTTCGGCTGGTCCCCGTTTCTTAACGCAGCTTCATTTGAAAAAGTAGAAGACAATTCAAAACGATTTGGGGGCTGGAAAAGATATTAATACGGTGCAACATGAACGTGAATTAAACTTAGGCCTAATATAGTCCGGCGTCGGCGTAGAAGAAACATTGGCAACTTAAGGCAAGTGCTCTTTTATTGAACAGCCAGCAAGAGAGGATAGATAGATAGATAGATAGATAGATAGATAGATAGATAGATAGATAGATAGATCACTTTATAAATCCATAGTGGGAAAGTCCTCTATTGCAGCAGTACAAAGTACAGTAAAGAGCAAAACAGGAACAAAAGTATTGCCGTATGCTATTTACAGATGCATAAATAGAAGAAGATAAATAATAAAATATACTAAAACAACAATAAAAATATATTGTGCAGTACAAAAAAAAGTAGTAAACTGCCAGCCCAGCGCTATGCAAACACAGCTGGAAAAGCGGGATGGTCACTTCTAGCCCTACATCTTCCCTCCGTGGTGAACTATAAACTCACCCAAAACAACCCACAACATGACCCTGTAAAATGCAGCCGACACATACACACATCTGAAACTAACAATCAACAACAAAAACAGCAACAACAACAATAACAAATGTCCTTTCTTAATGGAGGGGAGGTGCCCCTAAAACCCCCTCAGAAATGCAGAGCATGTGATGCCACAGCAAATATTATATCGCTATTAGGGACGCATTGATACCAATACTGGGATCGGATATCGGCCCGATACTGTGTGCATTTACTTGTACTCATAAAAAGGCACCGATACCAGCTGATACCTGGACTGCTTTTTGAAAGAGACACAATACAGGCCAGCCAATCAGAACAGAGAGGTCATTGACTTAAATGGACAATAACAAGAATAGTCCGTTTGATTTTTAGGAATATATAGAGGCTGGAAAATGGTCATGTAAACGTTAATTAGGACTGTTTTGGAATATAAAACTACACAAATGTTAGAAGCAGCCCCCAGGAGAAATAATAAAATACAACAAAATGTGGGATTGGGGCCCTTAATAATGTTAGAACCCCCAACAAAACACCTTCCTGCATCCCTCTGTGTGTGTGTGTGTGTTTGTGTGCATTTAGCTTTTTGTGTGGAACAACAGTCTCCATGGTAATGGAGGACATTTTGACATTGTGGGGACATCTGGATTATCTTTGCCTGGATTTTGTTTTGGTTTTAATAACAAATAAAGCTTTATTTGAAAAAGTAAGAGCCAAACTCTTTCTTGTTGGGTCCTGAGGTGAAAGTTAGGGCTGGTGGGTGTAGAACAGCAACATTTCGCTGTAGAAACCAGGAGGCAATTAAAAGACCCCAGAGCAACAGGAATACCAAATAGTGTGTGTATGTGTGGAGGGGGAGGGTCCTGTCAGCACTTCACAAATTAAACTCCATCATAACGTTACTCAGCCTAGCGACCATAGACAATAACTATTGATTAGTACTGATCATATTAGACTAGCAGTCTAATTATGTTTTTTCTTAATTGCATTAGAAGAGAAAAAAATCTTTTTTTCACTTCATCATCAAGAAGAGTATTTAATAAGAAGCGATAAATTTCACTCTTTTTTTAATCTTTTTTTTTTTTTTGAGGCTGTAGGCTAAACGGACACTATGAGCAGTTACCTCACTAAAGAGGTAAAACTCATAATTGTCATTATTGAGATCATTAAGATAATTTACAATAATTATTTATTATTGTTTGTAAGGCAAACACACTAAAATGTGTGTAAATTGCACCCTGAAATGAGGTCAGTTTCCTAGACGTGTATTAAGCCTAGACTTGGACTAAGCTGCGGTGCCAATGGTAAACAACCACAAGAAATACTTTAATCACGATTTCCTTCGCTGGATGTTGACTTACCTCAACCACATTCGGTCAGACGGCCTGTTCAACAGTGATTTACACTGAAAATCAGCTCATAATTTCAGTCCATGGTTTAGTACCTTAAACACAGCAGTCATGTTGTATTTGGTAATCATGCAGTCTTCATCTCTCTTTAGTCCTTCTGTGCTGCCCCCTGCTGGGTTAAATGAGGCACAGCTGATCTGTGAGTCTCAAAAGAGTGTGTTTCTCAAATATGCACCATTTCACCTCAGTACCAGTCACTGTTAAAGCAGTCTGATTTTTTTTAATGTTAAAACAAAGTTTCTATTGATTTTTATTTCACTGTAGAAATTACAATGAATCCGTCTTTTTGTGCCCAAGAACACTTTCAAAAATATTTATATTGTTTATATTATTTATATTGTTATATTGTTATATTTATACTGTTGGACCAGCATAACTTAACTGGTCAACCAGCATGACCAAGCAAGTCCACCAACATGACCAAGCTTGTCAACCAACATAACCAAGCTAGTCAACCAGCGTGATCAAGCTGGTCAACCAGCATTACCAGTATGACCAAGCTAGTCAACCAACATGACTTAACTGGTCAACCAACGTGACCAATCTAGTCAACCAGCATGACCAGTATGACCAAGGTAGTCGACCAACATGACCAAGTTGGTCATCCAGTATGACCAAGCTATTTGACCAGCATGACCAAGCTGGTCAACCAGCATGAACAGTATGACCAAGCTAGTTGACCAACATGACCAAGCTGGTCAACCAGCATGACCAAGCTGGTCAATCAACATGACCAAGTTAGTCAACCAGCATGAAAAGTATGACCAAGCCAGTCGACCAACATGACCAAACTGGTCATCCAGTGTGACCAAGCTAGTCGACCAACATGACCAAGCTGGTCAACCAGCATGACTAGTTTGACCAACATAGTTGACCTACATGACCAAGGTGGTCAACCAGCATGACTCGCGTGACCAAGCTAGTCAACCAGCATGACCAAACTGACGGACCCGCATGACCAGTATGTCATGCTCGCAGAACAGCATAACCATTACACTCAAATGAAAACATACACTATGCTGGTCAACCGGCTTAACTGATCTGCCAGCTTAACCAGCTGACTGACCAGCCTACGGTATGTCCTCGTCTAGTCCAGATGCATGTTCGGCTTGTCAACCATTAAAGATCAGAACAGTCCATCTGAAACCAGCTACCGGCGAAAGCTGGTCTTGTTCAGCATCGTGGTTAAATACAGCTCTACACAGCGGTTCATCCTGGCTGCGCTCTGAATTGTTAACACAGTTCCGCTATTGGTCCGGTCCGTCTAAATTACCCTGCGCAGTGGGCGGAGTCAGCAATAACCCCCTCCCCACTAGACGGTTGTCCGCCTTCGCGTTGAGCGCTTCAGCTAACCTGCATGTCTGAGTCTTCTGTTGCCTTTTATCCAACAGCACTGCCCGCTGCGGTTCAGCTCAAGCGTAGCTGTCTTTGTGAATCCATGTGCCGCCTGGCTTAGAGCTGCTTAGGGCGTTTTTTTGCATAACTGTACCACCTCCGGTGAGTCGACGGCTCAGGATGGGTCCGACCGTGCGGAGCGGCCGGAATACAGAGAGCGAGAAGGGCTACGAGGAGCTTTTCGAGAAACTGGACACGAATAAAGACGGGAAGGTGGACGTGGCCGAGCTCCGAGCAGGCCTCATAGCCATGGGCATCTCTCTGCGGACAGGAGCAGCTCAGGTAGCGTTAGACCTCCTCCTTCTCCTCCTCCTCCTCTTCCACCCCATCCACCCCATGCGCTTCATTCAGTCTAGATAAGCTCGGCTGGTGTGGAGCAGCGAGGGGAAGCCGAACACGGCTACTGGAAATGGCCTGAGGTTTCCGTGTCTGGCTGATTTTGTCCCAAAATGCGCTGCCCTGTGCTTCTCTGCTGAGGCCGTGCTTGAACGGCAACAATCTAATCTTTGGGGTCGTTTTAAAAGCTGCTGAAGGATGCATTTCATTCCCTCAGATCACGTGACTGCGTGACGCCGAGCAGGTTGCATTTCAATGGAGGGAATTATGTTGTAAGACAAATAGAATATAATATAATCTCTTACAGATTCAGTAGAATATCATGTTTAATAGTAGGACACTGTAATATAATATCTGTAATGTAGAGCCAGTGGGATACAATATAATATCTAATGTAAGGTCTATATGATATAATATAACTTCAGATATATAATCAATCAGTCAACCTTTATTTAAACTCGGAGTGCATTAAGGGTCACCCTCATTTACAGTGTAGCCGAGCCAATACAGAAATGTCTAATCAGGATCAGTGGAGTATAATATAATGTCTAATATAAGGTCACTGAGATGTAATGTAGTGTCTGATATGGGGATATGTCTAATGTAGGGTCAGTGAGATGTAATGTAGTGTCTGATAATGGGATATATCTAATGTAGGGTCAGTGAGATGTAATGTAGTGTCTAATATGAGATATAGTGTCTAATTTAGGGTCAGTGACGTGTAATGTAGTGTCTGATATGAGATATAGTGTCTAATTTAGGGTCAGTGTGATGTAATGTAGTGTCTGATATGGACTATAATGTCTAATGTAGGGTCAGTGAGATGTAATATAGTGTCTGATATGGGATATAATGTCCAATGTAGAGTCAGTGAGATGGGATTTAATGTCTGATAATGGGATATAGTGTCTAATTTAGGGTCAGTGAAGTGTAATGTAGTGTCTAATATAGGATATAGTGTCTAATTTAGGGTCAGTGAAGTGTAATGTAGTGTCAGATATGAGACATAGTGTCTAATTTAGGGTCAGTGAGATGTAATATAGTGTCTGATATGGAACATAGTGTTTAATGTAGGGTCAGAGAGATGTAATATAGTGTCTGGCATGGAATATAATGTCTAATTTAGGGTCGGTGAGATGTAATATAATGTCTGACATGGAATATAATGTCTAATTTGGGGTCAGTGAGCTGTAATGTAGTGTCTCATATGGGATATAATGTCTAACGTAAGATCAGTGGAGTATAATATGTCTGATGTGGGGTCAGTGAGTAATATAATGTCTGATATGGATAAATCGTCTAATATAAGGTCATGGGGCTTTAATATAATGTTTAATATAGGGTGATTATATATGTGAGTTTTTTAATGTCTGAAATAGGGCTGAATAGCAGGGTTCAGTACTTTTATGGTATTGATGAAATTACTCTAATTACTCCAAATTACTCCAATACTATATAATATCGAAAAAATAAAATTTAATTCAGTACTTAGACTTATGTCTAATTTTTTATTACTGCCTAACTTATGTCTATTTTTATTTCTGTTTTTTTATTTTCTGCATAGTATATGTAAGTTTATGTGCAATTATATGTCTTGCTACTGAAACACTGCAATTTCCCTTCAGGATCAATGAAGTTATATCTGTCTATCTATCTCTATCTACCAAATTTCAATACATAAATATTCAGTCTTATCCCCATCAGTGAGCCAATAAGCATGCTTGTTTCCAAATCCAGACTGCTGATTGGCTGTCTATAATTACATTCTGTGTATGTGTTATTAACATGCTTCTTAAGCAGTCTGCAGTCCGTTACAGTCAGAAAATACATCCACTTTCTGCAAATTACAGTAATTTCTGCACAACTTTAAGGCATTTTCACACCGAGTCTGAGTTTTAAACGAACAAACAAAAACAAAACAAAGTGTAAATGAAGTAAAAACAGGACTGGAGATTCAGATAACAAATCAGAGCGCAGAACACTTATGCATGCAAAATGGAAACAAAAAATTCTAGTTATTGATTTCATGGCTGTTATCGATAATCATCAGTAAATCGATAAGTGGTCCCAGCCTTATTTCACTTCTTGGTCAGAGTGTTTCAGGATGAGATTTCATAGATAATAATAATTTCATGGATGATAATAAGCAATAATAAAGGGTAAAATGTATTAATTTTTTCATATGCAAGTCCATAACCTTATGGTTAATTATACAGATAATGCTGTAGCCCCCTTTCTTGGTCAGAAGGCTTCATGATACGGCTGAAAGATTAATATTTTTTATATTGAAATCGCAATTTGAGAGATTGCAATTTAAAAAAAAACAACAACTGCAGTTATAATTATACCTATCTTAACATGGTTTAAGTGCTTAAGCTGTTGCCTTAACATGGTTTAAGTGCTTAAATTTAACAACATAACTAATAACATGGAGCCTATGAACTAGTGGATAAAAAAAGTGGATATGCTGGTCTTCTTGACCAAAATAACAGTGTTTGACCTTAATTTGTAGAAAATATTAGCGATTTTTAATGTCAAAGTCACAACATTGGTCTGAAAAAAGTAGAATTTTTTTCCCAAATCACCTGGACCTGCTTCATAAAAAAATTGATGATAAATGGGAAGATGTAGGCAGTTTGTAATGTATGTAGTATGTAACGTAAAATGTAGTTCATTCTTGAAATCAGATGTATAATTGAAAGCACATGAGCTAAGAAGTCTTCAAATACGTTTATGATGTACAATATTGTGCTATGACGTCCAACTTTAAAAACAGACAAAACAGTCCACAGTAATGCTTATAAAATGTAAATGGTACATATTATGCAGCCTTTGGACTGTCCAGGTTCCTGAAGTGTTAAAACAATAGAAAAATTTAGCTTTAGCACTCATTCCGTTGTCTGCCAGGCTATAAAACAAGTCTGCATAAACAAATGCCATAGTGGTAAATAATCTACAAATTTAATACTGACAAACTTTCTGTTTTTTGTCAAGCAACAACAGTGTTGCACCTTTTTGACTCTACAGCTTTGCTCAGTTATACAGTTCACACCTCAACTATTTGTCTGCATTTCTTGACAGAAAATAGTCACCACTGGAGACAAAAACAAGGACGGCGTTCTTGACTTCAGCGAGTTCGCCAGATACCTGAAAGAACACGAGAAGAAGCTGTGGCTCACTTTCAAGAGCTTGGACAAGAATGATGATGGTAGTGTTGTTCACATTCCTCGGGCTTATAATGAGGCTAATCTCCCAAAGCCTCATGATTGTAAAAGGGCGTTAAAGCAACAACTCTGTGTTTTTGGACAGGAGTCAAATTAAACCACTTTGTGTGCTTATAGTTTACCATTCTGTTAAAGCTGACCAAAGGAGCAGAAAAGATGTAGCAGCAAAATCTATCACTGCTGCAACAAACCTTTGATTTTCCAAAATAGTAACTGTCAAAGAGAAGAAAAAAGGTTTTAACTTGATTGTATGATCATAGAAGCAAAAGTAATTTTGGATTTTATAGATCCATTTGTCACACAGAGTTCTTTGCCATAGAAGAACCATTTTTTGGTTGAACCATGTTTGAAAAGGAGTGTGAAGAACCTTCTAAAGGCTAGTTTACAGCTGCTCAGTGCTCTCTGCAGCTGTTAGCTGTTAGCTTATCAGTCTGCTAAACTTTGTAGAAGATAAATATGTCCAAAATTAGTAAAAACAAAACGGTGTTTGGTCAAATCACTCTTCGTTTATTATGGATGAGCCTTTTATTTCGTTTTAAAAGGTTCAAAAATAGTACATTTAAATGCATAAAAATTGTAACCTATAATGTTGCAGTTATTTTGATGTTACTTGCATAAATGCCAAAATATACAGGACTGTGATTGACCACACAGTCAGATTTTATGTCCTTTTGCAGTTAGATGTTTTTATTATTGTTTTATTCCTTATGCTATTGTGTGCTTTTATGTGTTTGTGTTACCTCCTCTTATTCGCCCAGTTTTTCTCTCTAGTGGGTGCATGAGGTTAATAAAAAGTTCTGAATTTTTTAAGTACATGGACATTTTTACAGCTAATATTTTTAATGGTTTTGGTTGCAAAAGTAAATCTGTGCTACTTATGCATTATTCTCTCTTATTCTCTCTTTAAATAGGTAGTTCAACAGGCATGTGGGTGTTCATAAGGGTGAGGATGCGGAACCCACGAATGAGACAAATCACTTGAGAAAGTCGGCTTCTTATTTGAATTTCCCATTCCACCTTAAATGCTACAGCAGTTACATACAAGTGCCTGTGGTTGCCAAAATGTAACTGCTGCTGTATTTAAGGTGGAATGAAAAATTATAGCTAAAAGCTGGCAAATAAGCCAGTTTCAGCCTGGTAGAAAATAAGACAAGAAATACATTTTTATTACACACTTCTATAACCTAAGCTCAGCCAGTTTGTATTGAAGTCCTTGTAGTTACTGAAAAGTAGGCCTTAGTGTGTAATGATCCTGGGGTATTAAGGGGTTAAGCATCCAAAATGGTTTATTTGGAGAAAAAAAACATATATATATATATATATATATATATATATATATATATATATATAGGGAGTATAACCAAATCCATCAGAAATTTTAATTATAGTATGATGTACATTTTTGGGCATACCCTTAACTACTCATAAGAATTAACACCCAGATAATGTTCTTTTGAGCAAATATTTCACTGTAAAGAGGTTCTTCACCCTCACACACCTCATTTACAAAATTGGTTATTTAAAGAACCATCCATTGAAAGGTACTGTAGAGAAAAATGGTTCTTCTATGGTTTGTCTCAATTTAGTACATCTTTTTAATACAGCAAAAATAAAAAGAATGCTTGAAAATGTGTGTTACGCTAATCTTTTTTTATTTTCAGTTTATTAGAGTTTATTAGAGCATTCAAGCTTAACTTCTGCATATTCAGCATAGCTTCACCACTCTAACAGCATTTTCCTGGTGGTTTTCTTGCATTAGGCCCTGTGTCTCTTAATTAGACTGTATTAGTGAAGTGTTTGGAGCTGTTATATCTCTACCTGTCTGCCTTCAGGCCGTCTGGACGTCTGTGAGATAAAACAGTCCCTGGCCGAACTGGGAATGGACATATCCACTGAAGCAGCACAGAAAATCCTACAGAGGTTGGTGGTCTGGACATCGGTCTGATGTTTATGATGTATAAGTTTGTGATGCATGCAAAGGGATGTTGCTTGCATTTTTCTGTAAGATGAGGTGGTAGGCAGTTCCAGATTAAAAGCCCTGGATGAGAAAGTGTAAACTGTCCAAGTGACGCCCTAAAGAAAGCTGTATGAAGGTTATTAGAAGATCTTGTGGAGGTAATGATGAACTTCACAGACGTATTGAAAACTGTTTTCAAAGCAGTCAGGAAGAAAATTGTGTGTGGTTAATTGGTTAATTTCATACACTTTAAGTATTTGAGGTCAGCGAGAGTTTACATGGTAGTTGCTGAAGTGACCATTCTAACAAAGCGCTTCTGAAGAATATGTTAACAGCTGATATTACTTTTGAAAGTGCTGGCCCAAATAATATTACAGGAAGAGAGGATAAATCAATGTGTAATACAAGTAAAGAAGTATTTTTGTAACAGTATGCATTTGATTCATCTGATGATTAAGAAATTAAGTTATAACCTCTTGAACTCTGGCTTTATTATTCAGTTATTAAGACTAAAGACTTACTAAGGCTTATTAACCCCTTAAAATCCCAGGCTTATTACATACTAAGGCTTATTATTCAGTAACTACACAGACAAACTGTGCAAAAGTTATTCTTAGGTCATTATTATGGCACGTTTTATGTTTTATAGTTTATGTTGTACTTTTTTCCCCAATATGTGAAACCCAGAAAATAAAATTTTGCACTAAAATTTGCAGAAAAATGTCCTATTTAAGTGTGATCTCTATAGAGGATGTGTTAACTTATTTTCACTTAGAAAATCAACAAAACACAGCCACTTTTGCATATGACCGTACATTATTCAAAGTAATCGATTTAAACCAATTTATAATGCAGATTATGGTAATACATGAAATTACAAATATATTTACAAATAAATTAGTTTGCATTAATACAAACAGAATCTTTAGACTTACATCCGCTGTTCTTATCCAAACAAATCACTCACTTAAGTACAAACTAGGGATGCAAAATGATATCAGAATCATATCAGCATCTACAGATATTTGCATAAAAATATCAGCATTAGACAGGTGTTTACATTTGACTATTTGTTTACATTTGAATATTTGATAATTCAAAACGATATTTGATGACGTATTTATTGTACACTGGAAGAGCAGAATGTTTAAGTGACTCTACTGCTCTGAAATGTTACTCATTACATTTTAATGCATTTATAACCCTCTACAATAACCCTCTGTAACTCTAATACAAGTAGTTTTAGTCTACATTTTATAAATGTTTATGTATCAGCATCAGCATCAGAATTGGCATCTCCATTGAGGTACAGTAAAGATATGTAGCGTATATGTACATTTATACAACAGTTAGTTCCGACCACGCAAGCTGATTGGTTGAGAAGCGTTCTAATCGTGCTGTTATTTCGCCATAACATCGCGGTTTTTTGACAGCTGTAGGAGACGCTCAAGCCATTTGGACGTTTTTACTTCTTACTTTGCCACAAACAGAAAAGGGACACTTTAAAGATCACATTTGACCAACAGCCGATTTGGTCAGACTCTGAAGATGAGACTACACTGAATTCCCAAACTGTCATTACCACGGAGCAGCCAACTGGAATTAGCCAGAAATGAACCGAATACTATTCGCCAAACATGTAGTCTCACCTTCGGCTCGTGCCTGCGACCAAATCACAGCTGTGATGTTATTTCGCGATAAAACACTCCCTCTCGTGTTCTGTTGCTTAAATAAAACACTGGTTATCGACATTGGCTCAAGATTCCCATATCGGTGCATTGTTAGTTCAAACTTTTATAGGAGTCCCACTTTTTACGTGAATGTACTTTCATAATAAATACATTACTTCATTATAATGACGTGTGGTATTAAAACTATGTAGGGTCATGTTATTGCATTGGGCTGTGATATCATGTGAGACTGTCAGGATGCATTTTTTCACTGATAATGCGCATAAAGAACTGCACTTCATAGCAACTTCACATCTTGCCTACCAAGTAACAAATACACATTTTACTTTAATACATACATTTGGCTGACATAAAGTAACTATAATAAAAAAGTAAGAGGCATCTTCCCTATCAGTGTTATTGACTCCCAGTACTTAAAGGGGAATTCCACCCAGTTTTCAAAATGTCTGCATGAATAATTCATTGTAAAGAAAGACGTTCAGAGCAAATTAATGTCAAATGGTTCATTGTAGAGAAACTTACAGACTCAGATTCCTTTTTAGTAGTGGAAAAGGGAACCAGGGGTCATGATATCTACACATGTATTTTTATTTTTTAGTCATATTTTGTATTAATCGAAATAAGAACCTATGTGTGTATTCTGAGTTTTTTATATGTAATGTTAATGATGATAAAATAGTGGAAAATCTGAAAAAAATAGTTTTTCATTGGGAATTGTTTTCCTTGTACCTCTCTACCATTAATCCACTGAAAGAAATACAGTGTGGCCCAAAACCTAATGTTAAAGCTATCAGGTATCAAGCAGCATATTCATAACTATTTTATGTAATAACTTTCTGAGTCACCTCTTTGGATGTCTGGTTCCTATCAGCACTGCTGTGAAAAGGTCTGACTCAGAAAGTTTCTCTAGATTGGAATGTTTCACATCAAGCAACTTTAAATGACTTTGTTTACTCCTCAACTATTATATTATGGAGAACCTTGGTAACATTTGGAAAACGGTAGATGTATTATATTCTATTAAAGTGAAATATGTGGCAGTCGCAATTTGTAATTTTCTGTGTGCCGTTCAGTGATAGCTTGCAACATGGACAGGGTTCTCCTCAAACATGGTCCTCGTTCATAAAGTGGAAGGAATGACTGGGGTTGAGAGGAGGGCGAGGGGTGGCACAATGACACGCACTATCCACAAAAGGGGGACAAAATCTTGAGAAATGCTGATCTACCCCGCCTGATTTGAGTTATTAGCCATTGATTAATCAGGTGTCTGATTAATCAAACACTAAAGTGATGAACATATTTCTCTTTATGTGGAGTAATAGATGTTTGAGGTCATTATCCTCACATCATTTGACTATGTTCTCCAGCATTGACAGTGATGGCACCATGACTGTGGACTGGAACGAGTGGAGGGAGCACTTCCTGTTTAACCCTGCCACAGACCTGGAAGAAATTATTCGATACTGGAAACACTCCTCGGTCAGTTACTCAGCAAATACTCTCACCTTCCACCTTCCAGCTAAAACATTCTAAGACATTCTGGTTTAGGCGTGCTCTTCATTTTAGCTTTAGAGCTAAATACATTCCACACTGCATGTGTTTTTTCTGTGTTTGTTATTGTTCTATTAATATTACAAGCTGAATCAGGTGTTCTGGAGCAGTTGGCAACTGCTGTGCTGTCTGTAGAGCATGTGTGCAGCCTATACATCTCTTAGTACCTCGGTATTATGAGCTTGCTGTACACCCTCATTTATCCATGGGTACCATCCTCTTATGTGGCAGAAAGAAGAACTGTAGAACACAAATTCTAGTTACACAGAACTATTTAAATGTTGTAAAACTAAAATCTAATGCTACAAACTCTCGTAGTCCAGCCACAGCAAGTGGCAGATTTTTACTGCCATAGGAAAACATATTTCAGAAATTGTAACTTTAAAAGAGAAGGAAAAAAATGATCTTCACATCTATAAATGTCGGAGATACACTGAAATTTCAGCCACTGAAAAGTGGCACTTTCAGTTTTAGGCTACAAGAGAAAAAAAGGCAAAATTTTGGCTGAAAAAAACAGGATTAAGTAGGACTACAGTGAAATTTTAAAATCTAATGCTTAAATCATTAGATTAACAATGGAAACAGGCAACAGTGATGAAAAAATTGTGCCAGTCAGTGCAGACATGTTCAAACAGTTTGAGCAGTAGCAGATCAACAGTTCAGTTTCTGTGAGGAAGATTAGACAAGCGATTTATAATCTCTGTTCATGTCAACTATTAAGAGAAGGTACAACGATCAAGAACTTCTCCACCACAGGTTTGATACCATTTGAAGACACAACATCCTCAATATGCAGAATACAGCACAATGATTGACGTAGCCTCAGCTTTTGAAGTACCAAAAAAATCACAAATGACAGCTTAATCTTATAACTAGAAAATAATGTAATTATTAAAATGGCCAACCGTTCTCTGTTGTCAAGGACATTGGATTTCATAGCACATAACCGTAACCTACACACTTTATTTAAGTTTATTTTTACGTAAACGTTTTTTTGCTATGTGTTATCAACTCAGCTTTGTCTTATTGAAAGCAGATTTTTTTTAATAATAAAAGTGTCAATTTTTTTTATTGCCTAGTAATTTTATGTTTAGCTTGTTTATTCAAAACCACATCACTGGTGTGGGAACAAAACCTTGTATCTCCAAAATTGTAACTTTACAGAAGAAGAAAAAAACATACTGTAATTTTTATGTAAGTCAACAGAACCAGATTTTCATTTTGTTCCATCTGTTTTAGTCCATTCATCATTAAATTTACACACAATGTAAAGGGCAACAGGCATTTTCAAATTATGACAAAAACTGTAAAATGACAAAAATGAAGATACAAGGTTTTGTTCTGACAACAGCTTAACAACTTAATTTTCATTTCCCTGCATCTCTAGTTAGTGTAACTTTAAAAAGCAACAACAAACATTTCTGTTGCTCTGTGCATGAATAACTGATTTACAAGGTTTTCTTATGGCAGTGACAAAGTTAAGAATCAAACGTTGAATAAATGGTGATTAACAGTCAGTCAGTCTTAACTGCAAAGGCTGTGGTAGGACTTCAAGTCTTTGGGCAAATTGGAAAGAGTAGAGAAAAGAACATTTCTGGTGACCTCCTGTAGCATTTGGCTTTTGCCTTTTCTATGATTAAATTTCCTGAACAGTTTGTCTCTTTCAACATACTCATATGATTAACATTACAGTTTCTGGCTCTCTAAGTTAGCAGCTGGACATTGGTGACAATCTAGCCGTTCCTGATGAGTTTACCAGCGAGGAGAAGATCTCTGGCGGCTGGTGGAAACAGCTGGTTGCTGGGGCAGCAGCAGGGGCTGTCTCTAGAACAGGCACTGCCCCTCTGGACAGAATAAAGGTTTTTATGCAGGTACAAGCACTTTAATATCCCGTGATGAATTACCTCCTACGGAGTCAAATTAACAGATACCTTTTTTCAAAATGTATGCGTTATGTATTATCATTAATCTTGACTGAGTTTTATTAATGATGTGCTGTTTATCTTGCTGCAGGTTCATGCTTCCAAGTCAAACCGAATCGGTCTGCTGGGGGGCTTCAGACGAATGCTTAGGGAAGGGGGAGTGACGTCTCTGTGGAGAGGGAACGGCCTTAATGTGTTAAAAATGGCCCCTGAGACTGCCATCAAATTCATGGCTTATGAACAGGTAGGCTGCTGTGGACGCTTTGATCCAACATTTCCCAGTAAACAAACCTAATACAGCTCATCATTTACCTTTAAAGCTCATGAGAAGATGGATCAACTGTGTCTGAGCGTAATGACAGAACAGGGGTGGGGAAATACTGCTCTAATGATACAGGACTTTACGTAACTGTTATAACGCCTGATGATATTTACAACCCCATTTCCAAAAAAAGTTGGGACGCTGTGCAAAATGTAAATAAAAACAAAATGATTTGCACCTCATTGCATTTTGTTTTTCATTTACATTTTACCCAGTGTCCCAACTTTTTTGGAAATGGGGTTTTACATAAATCACTGAGTGATTGAGTTAATTTGGATTGTAAAGCATTCTATATAACAAAGCTCTACCGCCCAACATTTTAGTGTACAACAATAAATCAAGAACCAGTGATGGTGTAGTATTTAGATTAGCCTCATCTCTGTCTGCTGCATCTGTACCATTTGGCCAATTTCCACAGACATAATTCTGTTGTGCTTCCCTGTATTTAGAAAAGAGCTGAAACCCCATTAACTCTAAGTTACAGTAGAAAACAGTGTTCAGTTCCAAATTCATGCCTAAATGCATTTCCCAACCCCAGTTCAGCACTGGGGGCAAAAAAAAATAAAACATAAAGTGTGGCCTGTGAAAAAGTTTCAGCACATGCTGCAAAAAGGTATATCTTAACAAGTGGAAACTAGTCTAGTACTATATATATATGAAAACTGGAATATATATATATATGGAAACTACTATCTACTATTTCTCATTATGAGATTGTTGTAAGAATATTCTAAAATTATTAAACCCTTTTCTATACAATTTTATTCATGTGTTAAAAGCAGTTTTATCTAGTGAAAGTGTCTTGTTTTATTGGCAGATCATTGTAGTTGTTTTAAGAAATAATGCAGATAGTTTAGCTTATTTCACATATTTCGAGAAATAATGCATGAAACAAGTACAGGTATTGGTCAATAGAAAAAGGCACTTTCACAAGATAATTTTTTTTAAAAACACTTAGAAATGTCTAAAAATAAGTCATCTGAGAATTTATCTCACAATGAGAAATATTAGATATATTGATTACATTTCAATGCTTTCACTTGCTAAGATATCTAGGCAGTGCATTTTATATTTTGTGTTTTATTTTTTCTGATATATTAAATTTAGTAAACAAATAGAAATCATGCACTAAAACTTGCAGAAAAATACCCTTTTTGTGTTAAGTTATTTTTACTTAGAAGATCATCAAAACATGTAATTTGGGTTGCTCAAACTTTTGCATACATCTGTACATCATGAGGAAAGTGGTTCATTGCATTTTGGAGCAAAACATTTCAAATGTTTATGCAAAACATATTTTTGTGGAACACTTTTGTGTATTCTTCAGTCAGATTTGTAAGTTAACCTGTAATCTGTCATGATACTGTTTTTTTTTATAGTGAGGAGTTTGTGGTAATATATTAGAAGCGTTGTGGTGTGGCTGGTGTTTTCACAAGTTCCTGATTTTACATGGACACCAGAGAATCTTAAGAAAAGCCAAAGTGTCCAGATCTACTTTTCATAAAAACGTAAAATATATAATGCACTGCAGAAATGTCAAAGTGAAAACCTCTTAATATAGTCAATATTTCTCATAATGAGATTGTGGTAAGAAACATTTTCTTATGTCTGTCTTATCCTAGGAGCTGCACTGATAGACTGTAATGGTTGTAGTTTTGAATTTGCGTTATATAGTCAAACATTTATTCACGGAATTCAGAAACTGCCCAATGACTTCAAGTTGGTAGGTTTTTATTTTTTCAGTTTTTTCGGGCAAATAGCGAGTAGGTTGAAAATCACTAGAGTGATCCTTTCACTGATTGGGTGTTCAAAGTTGCCTTCTTCCGTTAACCTCTGGAGAAACTCTCCTTGTGGCTTATAATGCTAAGCGGTTTTGTCCACTCTACTGAATTAACATGATCACTTGAAATTAACCGTTTACCTCTCTGTGCTCATGTTCAGTAAATCCTATCTGTATTTTTCCCGTCAGTATAAGAAGTTTCTGGCATCAGAGGGGGATCAAATAGAGACTGCACAGAGATTCATGGCCGGCTCATTAGCTGGAGCCACAGCGCAAACGGCCATTTACCCCCTAGAGGTGAGACCACTGTATGACTTGTATTATATCACTGTATTACACATGATCTTCGGGCCACTGTATAAGGGCCACTGTCAGACATACATCCCACAGGATTTAAGGACTTTTAGGAGTGTATTCATTTGTGTTTGGTTTGGCACATTTATTAAACTATTATAGGTTACTATATAGCTTTCAACAGTACTGATAGTTTTCCACTATGACTCATTCCACTATGAGGATTTTGAGTAACAGAGGTGACTCTGAGATGGTAGGATGTAATCAGAGAGTTAAAGGGGAATCCACTGATTTTTTAAAAATTTCTGCATAATTAAATGGCTAATATATAAAAAGTCATTTAGAGTAGTTAGATGTGAAATGCACCATTCTAAATATACAGAGTCAAAATTGTTCACGGTGGTGGTGATAGGAACCAGACGTCTGAAGAGTTTAATTCCTCTGAAAGCTCCCTCGTTCAAAGTTATAACATGAAGTGGTTATGAATATGTTGCCTGATGCCTGAAACATTGTTTTACAATAGATTTGAGATTAGCAGTTGGCCTAAAATGTATACATAACATGTACTTTTTAAAAATATATTCATGGCGGAGAGATACATGCAGGGAGTTATATGCAAGGCAAAATGATCCCCAAAGAAAACATATTTTTTGAGATTTGACACTATTTTACATAAACATACTATTCAACATAAATATAAAAAATTTTGAAGACACAAGTAGGTTCACTGGTGGTTTTGGATTAAAAAATAAAATTAATTTTGCATTGTAGACATTGTGACTCCTGGTTCCTATCACCACCACTGTAAAGAAATCAGAGTAGGCAAGTTTATTAGTAGGTAGGTTTATTTACATCTTAACGGTTAAATTATACAGAAATTTTGAAAATGTTGAATTCCCCTTTAGCTTAGAAGGACTTAAGACCAACTTAGATGTTATGCAATTATACCCCACTGCTTAATACTTTAATACATTTATTACTTAAGCACAACATTCTTTTGATTTTCTCTTGTTTTAGTTACTTTAAAGCATTTCAATCTGAAAGAGTCATCACTTTAAACATTAACATGATACTGCATATCGTCGCTGTCCAAAGAAAAACATGTATCTCCAAAATAGTAACTTTACAGGAGAGAGCAAAAACTTTCTTTACTTTCAATGTAAGTTAATGGAAAGAGATTTTATTGTAAGCAATTTTGGAGCATTTCTATTGGTCCAGTCATCATGGAATTTTCACACAATGTAAAGAACAGCTGCTGAGCTCGACTGATGCAGAAAAGTAAAAATCGCAAAAAATGGAGATACATGTTTTTCATTGGACAGCGACAATATATTAGGCAATATACAAGTGTCTAAGAGTTTAAGGGGTTAATTGAAAAGTAGCAATGAAAATCAATTACTTGGAACATGTCAAGGCAAATTAACTGTGTATAGAATATAAACTGTATATATGATTGACATTCTGTCATTTGTAGGTAATGAAGACGAGACTGACTCTGAGAAGTACCGGCCAATATTCTGGAATGTTGGACTGCGCCAGGTCCATTCTGCAGAGGGAAGGCATCAAGGCCTTCTATAAAGGCTACGTCCCTAATATCCTGGGCATCATCCCTTATGCTGGCATCGACCTCGCTGTTTATGAGGTACATGCAGCAACAGCCACAGACTGTCAACGGCTTTTTGTAGTCCATTATCTTATAATGGAATTGGCTTGTTATTTCATCCTTGGAACATTCCGTTGATAATCGATCCCAGAACATTGCTGTGCCACGTATTTGTACTGTTTTGTGTAATCAGTTTCAGCATGTCAGCACGCCACTGCGTTAGGGTGTCACAGCAACCTGATAGTTAATGCATCTAATCTTAAAGGGCCCACATTCCAGGGACACAGGAAGGTGTTTTAAATTGGGGGTGCTAAATTTTTAAGGATTATATGTGTGATATGAAAGTATGATATATGTAAAGGCCATCATACAACAATATTTGCCTTTTTTCTTTTTATTTTGTTTGATAATTTACATAATGCAGTAAAAGACAACAATAAGCCCATATAACTGGCACATTATGAAGGATTTAAATATTCTCCATCTTCTAGATGATGTATGTTCATATTTTCAGTTTGAGTTTTGTTACGTTTATGTCACGCCTTATTCTGTGAGTTTATTGGCTGTTTGCAAAGCAGAAATCTGATTACTGCCCGACTCATGTAGACCTGGAATTTCTCATTATCTGATTACTTAAGTGCATGTAAACGTGTTGATCGGATTACTGACAAAATCTGATTTCTGCAGTTATCGGATTATTAAGTGCATGTAAACACACTCAATGTTTTTGTTTCTGGGTGGAGTCTTAAAATTGTCGCAGTTTTAACCCCCTAAAACTGCAAATGGCTGTATGTTGGCCCAATTTATAGTTTTTCACATAACTTTCATATTAGTTTCATAGTAGTTAATAATTTATAGTACTTACTGAATATTTAAAGATTAATACTTAAAACATAAGTTTATGGGATTAATGTATTACGAATTCATTATATTGTATTATGTCGAGAATTATTTGCACAAATGTGTAAGATCAGTAGATAATTTACTGTAGCTGTCGTAACAGAACTTTTTAGCCACAAAATGGTTACAGGAGAGAAAAAAACATTCTTAACTGTTCATGACAGTTAACTCTTAAAATCACAGGCTTATTATTTAGTAACTAAATGGACTTAATGGCAAACTGATTAAGCTATTCTTAGGTTATAGAAGTGTGTAATAAAACTTTGGGCCTGGCCTGTTAAGGAGTTAATGTATGCTATATGTCCAAACGTAGCCCTTCTGATGAATTCAGCCACTTTAAGGCGCACCTGTTGCTGACACAGGTGTTCTACTGCACACTCAATGTTTGTATAATCTCCATAGAAAAGCACAGTTAATAGAATAGGGACGCTCTGAAGCAGCTGCACATGAGCCTATGGTCACCATGTCTAATGCCAAGCATCAGCTAGAGGGGTATAAAACCCCCCAGCACTGGGCCTGTAGTGCAGCGGAACTGTGTTCTCTGGAGTTATGCAGCTCCATCCAGTACATTTGGACACACAGCTGGAGTGATCCAGAACTAATCATCCAACATCAGTACCTGACCTCTCTAATGTTCTTGTGGTTGAATGCAATCAAATCCTCACAGAACTGTTCCAGCATCTAGTGTAAAGCCTTCTCAGAAGAGTAGAGACTGTTACTGCAGCGAAGAGGGCACAAACTGCCTATTAGCACTCTTGATTTTACAAGAAACATTGATGAGCAGGTATCTACAAACTTTTGGAATGAGTAACAAGTTTATTACAAGCAATTTTATTCCATTCGTCATGAAAAGTCACACCTGAAATGTTCAGGTTAAGGCTGACTGTACATGGTGAATCTTCTGTGCAACTGTAAATTGCACAAGTTGCATAATGTAAAGTGTCCTGCAACTCACTTAAAACTTAGCTGCAACAGTTGCAAGCGTCTCAACTTTGTGGCAGACTGATCAAATAATAATGATCATGTGACGTTATCAGCCAATCACAAGGCTGATAGCGTCACATGATCATTATTTCTTTATCAAGCTGTGATCTACAGAGCTAGATTATTTGTTTTCTGCTCTCTTGACGCCCCCTAATATTACACAGAGTACATCACACCTTGAGGGCGACTTTGAAGCGAGAACAATACAGTGTACCAAAAAACACAAACTGCTAAACAGTGGAGTAATCAAATTCAAATTCCTGTAAATGTCAAGTACACCGGCCAGGCATAACATTATGACCACCTCCTTGTTTCTACGCTCATTGTCTGTTTTATCAGCTCCACTTACTATATAGGTGCACTTTGTAGTTCTACAATTACAGACTGTAGTCCATCTGTTTCTCTGCATGCTTTGTTAGCCCCCTTTTACCCTGTTCTTCAGTGGTCAGGACCCCCATGGACCCTCACAGAGCAGGTACTATTTGGGTGGTGGATCATTCTCAGCACCACAGTAACACTGACTGGTGGTAGTGTGTTAGTGTGTGTTGTGCTGGTACGAGTGGATCAGACACAGCAGTGCTGCTGGAGTTTTTAAACACTGTCCACTCATTGTCCACTCTATTAGACACTCCTACCTTGACAGTCCACCTTGTAGATGTAAAGTCAGAGATGATAGCTCATCTGCTGCTGCACAGTTTGTGTTGGTCATCCTCTGGTCCTTCATCAGTGGTCACTGGACGCTGTTGGCTGGGTATTTTTGGTTGGTGGACTATTCTCAGTCCAGCAGTGACACTGAGGTGTTTAAAAACTCCAACAGCACTGCTGTGTCTGATCCACTCAGACCAGCGCAACACACTAACACACCACGACCATGTCAGTGTTACGGCAGTGCTGAGAATGATCCACCACCCAAATAGTACCTGCTCTGTGAGGGTCCATGGGGGTCCTGACCACTGAAGAACAGGGTAAAAGGGGGCTAACAAAGCATGCAGAGAAACAGATGGACTACAGTCTGTAATTGTAGAACTACAAAGTGCACCTAAAATGGACAATGAGCATAGAAACAAGGAGGTGGTCATAATGTTATGCCTGATCGGTGTATGTTAAGCTCAGTAAATAAATATAAATTGTGCACTAAAATATGTAATAGAATGCCATATTGACCATTTTGTTCTCTTTAGAGGACGTGTTAACTTATTTTCAAACATAATGTGAAGAAATGTTTCATAGCTAATGTGAGCCATACGGCACACTTACCAGGAAGAATCAGAAAAGATTTTAACTTTTTCCTGGAGTTTATTTTATCAGTCATTATATAGATGGTTCCTTTTCCTTCATGGCAAACCTCTATTTCTATTATTGCCATTCTGTCTTTGCCGTACTGACCCTGATTTTGTCTCTCTCTCTCTCTCTCTCTCTCTCTCTCTCTCTCTCGCTCTCTCGCTCTCTCTCTCTCTCTCTCTCTCTCTCTCTGTCTCTGTCTCTCTCTCTCTCCCTCGCTCTCTCTCGCTTGCGGCCTTTCCAGAGTCTGAAGAATGCCTGGCTGTCAAACTACGCCACAGACACGGCCAACCCCGGCGTCCTGGTACTGCTGGGCTGTGGGACTGTGTCCAGCACATGCGGGCAGCTGGCCAGCTACCCTCTGGCCCTGGTGCGCACCCGCATGCAAGCACAAGGTAAGCCCTGTGCCCCTTTAAAAGCCCTGAAGAGCTTAGAGAGGCACTCTTGAATGCTAAATGGAGGACAAATCTGCCACCGTGCTGCCTGTGTGTGAGGAAGGGCTGGCGAGAATGCAGAGACGTGTGGCATTTAAGAAGGCATTTAGAGACTTGGCGTTTGGCAGTGAGGGATGGGGCACTAGCGAGTAAGGTCGCTAAGTGCTCGAGGGCCAGGTTTCTCCAAACAGTGATTAAGCCTAGCCTTGGACTAAGCTTCACCAATCCTTTTGGTCAAGGACCTTTTTAAGTCTAGTCGAGTTATTACTGTCATTTTTGCAATACCATTTAAATGTAATTACATAAATACACAGTTGCGTAATGAATTACATCAAAATTCAGTTCACACTCTGTATCGACAGCTTCAAGTCTGCACCGCTGTTGTTGTCCATTTGTTTCAGTTTCAAGAAAGAATAAATGGCAGAATGGTAAAGGATGATTTTTCTCTTCACAAAAAAAAGACTAAAGCAATATTTGAGCCAGATTAGTTTAACATGGGAAGGAGAGGATAATGTAATTATTACCAGTGTCTCCCTGTGATTTAGCCCTGTCCAAATCCGCCATTTCAGATGTTTTTATGGACTGCATAGTCCCATGTCAGTAGATTTTGCCAGCTTTTATTTTCTGTAAAATGAAGCATAGAAATCACCTCAGGTTATATTAATTTAGTGCTAAATGTATATCAGCCAATATTAAATTATATCCAATAGAAAAGGAGTTTTCCTTAAGTATGTGGCTTAAATCAGTATGTATTTTCTCCAGAATACATCTCCAAACAGAAAAGAATGTGATTTAATGCAGCAATACTGAATTCCCAAGCTAATGATAATGCTAATGACACGTTGCATTCACTTATGACAGCGAGGAAGCTGGTCAGAGCAAACGAATTAGGATTAAATCAAATATTTGGACATGTTTTCTACTTCTACAAATAGTACTTAAGTCTTAAGTGTTGGCCCTGTTGTCAGCAGATCATGAGTTGCCTGACGATGCACGAGTATAACTGACCTTGCTCTTTCTGGGTGGTTAGGACAGCCGTCCATCTTCCCATCACTCAAAGATGTTTTATAGTGACTCTACTGTGCCCTGTGCCCATTTAACCAGTACAGTGCCATCTAAATACATTAGATGGCGCTGTACTGGTTAAAATCCTTAAGGAAATGTTGGCAATTTAGCTTAGTCATAGACAATGTTTTTCTTTTGAATATGATATTTACCCACTAAGCACAATGCTGGCCACCGTTAGCTGACATAACAGAACTGACAGTTAGCGTTCTCCTCCAAGTGTGTTGAGCTGTCTACAGACGTTGCGTTATCACCTGCTCTGGAAAACAAATGTGTCATCAGTTAAGAGTTTAGAATCCGAATTTCAACAAAACCTCTCTGTTTGTTTCAAAGAGCTACAGGTGAGAAGTAATTAATATAAAATTACACCATGACTTTGTTATCACTAACAACTGTGATAATTCTTAAGTATTAATTTGTGACTGGAAAACCAACAGTTGATAACATGTTTAAACAAAGATCATTTACAAGATGCTTTGAATGCCTTTGTATGATTGTTTCCAGTAGCCTTCTGGGAAGGATTTGTGAAGACCCCTGTGTACTGGTTGCTTTATCACATTTTTCTCATCTTGAATTGTAAAAATGGACTTTCTTAATTTTCTTTAATTTTCTTGTCCTTTGTTGTTCAGCGTCTCTTAATAACTCGGAGCAGCTCTCCATGCGCTCGCTGGTGAAGAGCATAGTGGCGAAGGAAGGCTTCTTCGGCCTGTACCGGGGCATCCTGCCCAACTTCATGAAGGTCATCCCTGCTGTGAGCATTAGCTATGTGGTGTATGAATACACAAAGTCATTTTTGGGTATCTCAAAGTGAATGTCACAGACAATATTCAGGCATTTCAGTGCAGGAGTTCTGATTAAAGGGATAGTTCAGTGAAAAAATAATTAATTTTCACATTTTCTCCCATAAATGTAGTCGATCGGCCGAGACATGCTTAGTGTCTGAAATTTGTGTCATTCGTTTTGCACTGTAGCTACGAGGCTAATGTGGCTAACAAGTAATGGAGGCTTAGACCCCATAAATTAGCATCATGCGTATTGCATGCTGAAATGTTAGTAGCCTTGCAGCACACTTTTGTTCATGTTTATAGATAACAATATGTTGTCAGTGTCAGAAACCACATAAGCAAGTTTATTTGAGATTACATAAAAGTTCACAGTTTGAAGCAAATGTTTGATGAATTAAGCGTGCAGTTTGCGCAGTGCTAATTCATGGGGAATTAACTTCTATTATTTGTTAGCTACATTAGCTTTGTAGTTCCAGCACAGAATTAATGAAGCAGGTTTCAGGCACCAAACATCTGCCCATTCCTATACTGTTTTAAACTACCCTTGTAAACTTTGCCTCACCGTTTCCCCTCAAAGGAATCCCCGGCACCATCTTAAGCTGGCTTACAATTAGCATACGTGGCTTACAATTAGCATTCGACCACAGGGGGCAATTCAACTCAATAGACAGAATAGACTCATATTAAACAGAGGCAACTAGAGAACTGAGAAACTGAGAAATTGTTCAGTGGTTCTTTTTTATATGCGTTGATTAGAACAGTTCTGGAGGAAATCATTAGCTGATTAAGTCAGACAGGAGGAGATCATGTATTCTCTCCCAGCCTGTTTGGTTAGCTAGAGTTTCTTTATTGTTTGTAGCAGACTGTAACGGCTCACAAGCCTCAGTATAGCTGTTAGCCTAACTTGTCTTAGTAAGTTAGCTACTGTCAGACTCAGTAAGCTAATGATTTCTCTCAGAGCTGATATAATTAACATTTATCAAAATAACTACTGAACAGTTTGACTCACCTGTAACTGAGTGAAGGCCAGTTCTCTAGTTGTCTCTGGATTAGCAGTCTGGTGTAGGTCTGGTGTAGCGTGCTAAAAATTAGCCAGTTAGCTTCCCAGCAATTTTTTTCACCTGCTGCACAAAGGGTAAGCTAATCTTCTGCTGGTCAAAGCTGGTATTATATTGTAAGTGTTTTTTCATACAGTAGAGGAAAAAAATGGAGGTTTTTGGTGGCTGAAATTGTACGAATGATGTTAGAAATATTTTTTTGGCTGTTTTTGTTAAGTTATACGGACAGAAAAAAATAAGTAAAGTGGAACACACTTTCATTTTGGTTTCATCTTATCCTTCAGGGCTTCTGTACTGTCTATAATATAATACAGTACAATATAATATAATATAATAAAAGAAAAACGTGTATCTCCAACAGTAACTTTACAGGAAAAGGCAAAAACATTCTTGAATTTTAATGTGTGTGGATAGAGATTTTATTCCAAGTCATTGTGGGGCATTTCTATCGGTCCAATTGTCAAGGACAGCTGCTGAGTTGAAATGGTGTTAGAACAATGAAAATTGACAAAATTGAAGATGCCCATTTTTCTTTGGACAGTGATGAGGTAATATAAGTGATATGTTTTATGTTATTTTGATTACATGTTCACGTTTCAGCTGTGCAGGATGAGAATGACAGTTCATTATCAGTCTTGACTGAGTAGTTCAGGATTTCCTAACTTGATTCTTTAAGATTCTGTAAGATAAAAGCCCTACATTCATTTAAGATTTGCTTTTTTAACACGAATTTGTGAAAAATCTTATCTTGACCTTGTCAGATCTTAGTTTAGGACTAAAAATAGGAAGTTGAGGCTCCTGTCCTTGATTGAGTGTAAATATTGTATGAGTGTAAATAACTGCCCGGCATTGTTGCCAAGATGGCCGCTGACTGAGCAGACTTTCTGCTCCTGTCCTTGAACCGCTAGCAGCCACCTGTGTAACCTAGATATGGTGCTCTTCTAGGTGGTGAGTCCAAGTTGGCGAGGGCATGTTAAAAAAGTACTGAAAGGAGGCCTGTGTGCTGACTTCCTTAGGGGGAAATTGTGTGAACTTTTTGCTGAACTATTCTTTTAATTCTCAGTTTTATCTTTTTAAACACTTGGTGAAAGTCTGTGAAGAACGCAGGAAAACTGATCCTAGACCAGCGCTCCTGTTCAGAGAGGCTTTATGAATATAGGCTGCTGACGTATTATCATTTTGAAGCACTTTGATTGAACATGCTGTTTCATGTCCGTTAACGTGAGACTGAGCTTATCTAGACTCGACTACTGAATTAGGCTTCGGAAACCCATTTGTATTGTTTTAGTTCAAGGAAACAAGACTGTTGTATGAAGCAGTGGGATGGACTCTCACAGGTTTACACACATACTTTGTCAGGTATTTCTATTGTGACTAATGTCTTGCGTATTTCTATTTGTAGCAATAGGAGAAACAGGCCACCGCACTGAAAAAATCTTAGACTGTGCCTTACAGCCTGCATAGTATTAAGTCTTCTTTTTGTCCGTCTATGCATGATGTTTCGTTGTTTTACTATTTATTTATTCTACAGAGTCCCAAAAATGTACAACTATATGCCCTTGACCATTAACAAAGAGGAATTTCCACAGATTTTCCAATATATGAGCATAATTTAACTGTTAAGATGTAAACAGTTATTCTGAGTGGTTTGGTATGAAATGCTCCATTCTAGAGAAACTCACTGAGTCAAAATTGTGTACAATGGTGGTGATAGGAACCAGACTGAAGAGTTTAATGCTTCTAAAAGCTACATCACTGAAAGTGACAAATATGCTGCCCGATGAACCTTTTTTTTGGTGCTATATAGAACCACACACATTCTCCATCTGTCCGTCTGAAAAACTGCAAAGAGGGACCAACTCCATATTAATGCCTATGGATTTAAAATGGAATCTCATAAAGGCTCCTGTAGGTGTAAAGTGTAGGTGTCCCAATACTTTTGTCCACATAGTGTAGGTAATAAACAGGTACGTACTATTTGACTCTTTGTACATTGTGTACAATCTTTTTTTTTTTAAATCATATAACTACCTGCTACCTTTTAACCAGAGTAACACACAGTATCAGTTAATAGCTACAGTATTTAAAAAAGATGGTTCTTCAAGGGTTCTTTAGTAAAGAAAATGGTTCTTTATAGAATCATGAACTCTCAGAGAACACTTTGCATGATTAAAGGGTTGTGTGCATTGTGAAAGCGTTCTTCAGATTGATGGAGAATATGTTGTGTATGGTTCTATATAGAACCTGTTTGAAAAGAGTGCTATATAGCACCAAAAAGGGTTCCCCTATTGTTACAATATCAAGATTGTAACAGTAGAAGACTCCTTTTTGGTGCTACATAGAACCATATACAGCACATTCTCCATCAACCTCAAGAACCTTTTAATCATGCAAAGGGTTCTTTGAGTGTTTCCTTACTAAAGAACCCTTAAAGAACCATCTTTTTAAGAGTACATTGTTTTTTCTAGTTCCCATCAATTTAATTACACTGAATTTTTTTGAAAATTGGGTGGAATTCCACTTTATAATGGATAGTTCAGCTAAATGCGGCTAACAGTGAATGAAAGCGAGTGGTGGCGGTGGTTAGCGTGACATTGTGCTATATCTGAACTGTCATTCGTTGGTGGCCACGTAATTGGCATGTAATTGGCAATTACTGACAAAAAGCTGACGAAATGATACAGTTACACTCAGCCTATATTTTGAACCTCTGAAATTTTCTCAGAGCGACAATCAGCTAAAAGACTGGTTAACCTTATATTTATCAGTGTAGCATGAGCCTGTGGATATATATGTTTTAATTTAAATATCGTTCCACACTGCTGAGCCGGTTACAAGCCTTTACGTTTGCTGTCCTGTAAACATTTGCTAAAGCTACAAAAAAAGAAAAAGAAAACGCTAAAAACAGCTGGCTTGAATGACTCCTTTGATGTTCTTATGTAGATCTGTGCCTCTGTTTAAAACATATAGCCTGATAGGAGACAGTTGAACAAATGACTGGGCTTCAGGTGCTAGCAGAATGTCAGTGTTGTCATGGTAACAGTGCTGCCCTGACTGACAGTGAACCAAAGTCTGCAGAACAACTTTGTGTCTCAGTGCTGCTGGAAAAACTGCAATGCTACTGCTCTTTCTGTTTCCATATTGTTCTCATTTTTTAAAATAAAACACATCGTATCTCGGCATGTGAGTGGTGTCTTTAGTGCTAGCACTGCATAAGAGTATTTGCCCTAAGAAATAGTCCAACACAGGTTGTATAATCACCATAGAAAAGCATTGCCAGTAGAGTGGGACGCTCTGGAGCAGCCACACATGAGCCTGAAGTCACCATGCCCAATACTAATCGTTGGTTACAGGGCTATAAAGACCCCCAGAGTTGGGCTGTGGAGCAGTGGAACTGTGTTCTATGGAGTAATGGAGCTCCATCCAGGACCTTTGAGACGAGCTGGATTGGATTTTGTTATCCAGAACTAATCATCCAACATAAGTACCTGACCTCACTTATGCTCTTGTGGCTGCAATCAAATCCTCACAGCAATGTTCCAATATCTTAAGCCTTCTCAGAGGAGTAGAGGCTGGAACTGCAGCAAAGTGGGACAAACTCTATTAATGCCCCTGACTTCAGAAGAAATGCTGGTTAAGCAGGTGCCTATAAACTTTATCAGTTAATTACCAGGTTTAGTAGGTTTTAGAGTAGAAAAATGTAATGCCTACACTAATGAAGAGGGAAAAGCCAGCATTGGAGCATTTAAAGACCAACATGTGCTGATCAGAGACACTAGCAAGTCAGTGTCTTGCATAATTTAACCAAAAAAAAAGAGCTAAAACTGAGGTTCCCAGTCTGCACATTTTTGAGTATTCTTTGCTCTAAAACACCTGGCTTAAACCACTGAAACCACTTTTTGGAAATAAAGTTTCAAAATCATCTTTCAATCCTCAGTCCACGTCATCCATAAATAGAAACTAAGCTGCAAAAACAGCCTATTTTGAATTCATTGTTCCTGTGATGTCATGAAAATCAAGACATTTCCATTATCTCCACCTATTCAGGCTACAGCAGTTTATCTCCGCCCTTTCACACTGAAGTTATAAGGAGTGTTTCAGCTCTGAGTGCTTTTTGAAGCACAATACAAGGCAGCCAATCAAAACAGAGCTTACATACGTGTATATCAGTCTTAAAGGCACAGTAACAGAAACAACCAAGAGAGGTTGGAAGATGGTCATGTCAAAATGAACAATGACTGTTCTGGGTAGATAAGCCCACACCAAGCTTGTAAGTAGAGATTTAGAGACCACTGGTGTGAAGAATATTTTTGCTTGAGTTTAAAGATACTATGTGCAGTGTGTGAAAAACAAAGCAAATGAGTTGCTTTGTAGCTGTTAAGAGACCCACTGATTCAGATAGAGTTGAATGAGACATGTAAGTAATATCCAAAGTTGTCTGAGAACTGCTGGCTATGATCTTCAGGGGAAAACTCAGACTGGCACATATGGAATATTTACCAGTAAGCAAAGTCTGGCTAATTACCATCATATAGTAATTTACACCAAGAATCAGAATGTTGGAACTTTGGGTAGGTAAAGTTAGTTTCCATGTCTAAGTATTGAAAGTATTGTTTACCAGGGGTACACAACTCGTTCTCGAGGGCTGGTGTCCAGTACAGTTTGGATGTTTCCCCTGCTCAAACACACCAACTAAACCCAGCAATTAACATATAAAAGTAATCTTTTACATTACATTTACAGCATTTGGCAGACGCTCTTATCCAGAGCGACTTACAATTTGATACTTTTACACAGGTAGGCGAAGGTAGTGTTAGGAGTCTTGCCCAAGGATTTTACTGGTATAGTGTAGGTTCTTGCCCAGATGGGGGATTAAACCCCAATCTACAGCATAGAAGGCAACGGTGTTACTCACTACACTATACCAACCACTTAATCCTGTGTGTTTGAGTAAGTAAATCAACAAACTGTGCTACATACTGGCCCTCCAGGACTGGAACTGTGCACCTCTGCTGTATACAGTCGCATACAAAAGTATGAACACCCGAAGTTTTGTTGAGAGTGAAAATAAGTTAACACATCCTCTTAAATATGTCACTTTTCTGCAAATTTTAGTGGCCATTTCTACTTATTTGCTGAGTTTATTAAACAGGAAAAATAAAACACAAAATGTGCCATACCTTTTGCACAGGCCAATTTTTTCACAACGTTAAATTCAGCAGTTAAACCGTACCCATGCATTAATATCTGCAGAAATGTGTTCTCTGTAGAGGATGTGTTAAACTCACTTAGAACAGCAACAAAACACAGTTTGACCAAGGGCAGCCAAACTTTTGCAAATCACTCCAAGACATTTGAAGACTTGCATGCATTTGCATTCTTTCACCATAAGCTGGTTTCATGTAGTTTTACATAGTGCAGATATGAACACCTTCACGCCAGAACCAGAACTATTCTAATAAAGATTTTTTATTTTTCAGTTTTAAATAGGCCAACAAACCATAAAAATACATACAGGTCAGTAAAATGATCAGCCAGATACCCATGTGTGCATATCAGCATCGAGGTTTAAGATTGTAAACCATCTTTGAAAACAGAATTGAAAGACTGGTTACGCTGCTGTTTACAAGGAAAAAAAAGGAGCTTCCATTCATGTTGCTGGATTTTTTTTTTCTCCCCTTCTTGTTTAGTTGTTTAGTTTATCCTGAGAGTCAGTTAAAATGAGCTCACGTGGAATTAATTGAAAAATGGTCAATGCCGATGTATTTAAAAGCCCTCTCCGGTCTCCAAATGCTTGAAGGCGTGAAATTAACTACAGGAATTGATGCTGATGCTGCCATCATTTTACTGAGTGTAAAAATGCGAAACCAAAACACATGACCCTCCGTAAGTCCAGGAGAAATCAGCCAGATAGTCCCAAATGAAGGAATTTATGTCGTGGTTTTGGGGGGGGGGTGGTACATTCTCTATTAAAAAACCTAGGAGCAGAATAAATGAAATTCATGAGAGGACGATACTATATTGGCATTGCAAAAACAAGTTTAAGCTCATCGGAAAAAAAGACAATCAATGAACACCTTCCCACCCTTTTGTCTTCATGATTCCCATCTTCTGTCGATAGGGAACCCCCCTCTCTCGGGACATGAAGGAATACGCGATAACAATGATTTGAACTGTACGCACTTAAAAATAATGTGTGGGATTTCACATAGCAATAAGGGGTTCAGGCCTCTGCAGGGCAACCATCAGCGCAAGTCTGCTTCCACACCAGGGTTTCCCCACAGTCCAAAAAAATGGCAACCAAAAATGAAGCATCCCTTCAATATCCATAGCTCTGCCACATATCTGCAAGTAGGCGACTGATCCTACACTCACTTAAAACCAGCTATAGGCCAATGTTTCTGGTTTTGAGGGACCCATGCACTACCCAGTCAGGTGTATTCCATGCTCCAAACATTTGATTCAACTCAGAAAAGCCTTGATAAATAGTTCAATCAAGAACGTTTGGAGCAAGAAAATGCATTTTTAAGGGCACCCCAGACCAGAACGAATAGATCTTTGCTATAGACAATTCAAATGTCTCATCTCTGAAGCGTGAAAGTAGACAAAATTGCTTTTTATTGCTGAACTGGTCAGACCTGCTAATTCTCCATAACTGACCTAGTCAAGCTCCAACTACAAATGCATTCTTTTATAGCAGCTGTTGCCAAGTTGGAAGCTTTACAGAACACTGGTAAAAATCTTATTCAACCTAATGAGAAACTGTAGTGCAGTTTGTAGCATGATGGCAAATTTGCCACTGTCACTTCTAATTCTATTAGGCCAGCTACAATATTATTCAGCTGAGTAGTATTTTAAACTTAAACCCCCATAGCGACTCATAATACCAAGATTGTGATCCAAGTAATGTTTGTATGAGTTATGCACATTTTTTTTTTCATAAGGTTTAAATGGAACTTTTGCTAACGTTCTGTAAGCTTTTCCAACATTGCAACAGTTGAAAGAAGACGTGGGCAGAGCTTGGATAGGTCAGTTTAAAACATCTGTCAGGAGAAAACTGGATGAAGGGTAACGCAAATGACGTCACAGATGGAACAGGCATAACCAAATTAAACATGTATAAAAAGCACCCTCTTTTAAGCACTAATTCACCAATTCATAGTCCATCATTCATTCTATCACTCCACCTTTCATTCATGTGTCTAACAAAGCAGAGGCGTCTGGATTTCACAAAAAAATGCACAAAAAAAAATGTTTAGATGAGGAAAAAGAAAAAAGAAAAAAAAAGAAAAATAACCCTCAGTGAACCTTAAAAGCGGATGGGAGACCAAAGCAACCAAGACCAAAGTGAGAACAGAATGCTTCATTTTCCAGCTAGAAATAAAATCAGAGCAACATGAACTGGAAAAAAAATGATAGTTCTTTTCAAGAAAAAAAACAGCTATCCAAGTGAAAGTGAATACATGCGACAGCTTTTCAACTTTTCAGGGTGAAGATAATGGTGATGAAGAGGAGAAAGATGGTGATGTCATGACTCCTCATTTCCTGAGTCGTCCTCGTCATAGCAACAGTCCTCATCGTTATCATCCTCCAAGTCCTCGTCATCACAGTAATCGTCGTAAAACAAATCAGAGCCCTCGTCGGTTGCTGGGGCGCGTGTGCGCACGCAGTACTCCGCCAGCGTGGTGGGAACTTTTACGCCGTCTCGTTCTGCTTCTGCTTTAGTGGCCAGAACCTGCTTCCTGTAACACAAACACATACATACACAAGCTTAAAAACATGCCAAAAAATAAAAGCAGTTTTCTCCCCTTTCAATGCCAACTTAACACACTTTTAAGCCATGTGCTTTTCTTTATTTCCACATATTTACACATGACCTCAATCTTGGTCACATCATCAGAAAAACATGTGAAAATGTGGTGAAATCTGATGAAGCACAGCTTCAGCTCACAAAGCGGTTCCTCAGTTTCACTGTGATAGTTTATCTGCCGTGAGGCAGATAAACTGTAAATGAGTTTTTTCAGTAAGCCTTCTAACCACAAGGGGGCGGCAATTTAAACACATTTCACCATGTTTGTGACTCAATCTTCACCTGAACTTCAGCTGAATCAACACACCCTGATTGTTTCTGTGGAACTGTATCAATGCTCCCAAAACAAGTTTACCTGAAATCAAAATGTACCTTTTGCTATCTTGACTGTTCATGTCCCTGGTCATATGAAGCACGGCTAACCATATCATACCATTTATAAGATAAAATTCTTGCTTTCCCATAATCTTTGATTGTAATGAAATGGCTTTTGCTACCTCTAAACCTCTATTTTAGCTCTTAATTGTCATATAAATAACTGCAATTAACAATTTCACTGTCTTTTTTTGTTCATTTCATGCAACTATTAAAGTACAAACCTAAACTCAGTTGATTAGCCATCTTGGTTCTGTTATGTAAGCTAATATTTAGCTGAAATTAAATGATATACCGCACTGAAAATGTCACACAGAAAATGTCTACAGTTACTTAGAATTGTGTAGGGTCAAGTAGGACTTGCATGTTTTTACACTGCACTTGTTCTGCACACCAACATGCTAACAACCTAGCTAACAAGTTAACCAACATTCCCCGTAAACATGTTCTCAGCCAGTGTTTTCTTAAGAAACTTGACTCAAATATTTTCTGCCTATATTCTGCAAATATTTGCCTCAACCCAACTGACAAAACCATTCCTTGCTTGTTTACTGCAATGTTGACATATCATTGTGAAAGTTAACACCTCTAAAAAATATTTGATAATCTTTGATGAATTTGATTAATAAAACGCTTGAAAGTGAAAAAGTCATTCAAATAACCAACAAGTTTGCCACTTTTCTGAACCTTCCACCACTCACTGCGGTTCAGAGCCAGATCAAGGTTGCCAGATTGAATAGGATCAGCACAGTTTAATGCTCCTTGCTGTGAAATAATTATTTAAGTGTTTTTGTAGTATTTTGATTTTTAAGGCAATTTATGTAATGGTGCAAAAAATAAAATATAAATAAATAAGTAAAAATATTACTACTACTATTATTATTATTTACACCAACAATAAGAGTAAAAGGTTTTTCCTCTATTCAGTTATTAAAATGTTTTTTTTTTTAAGAACATTCGAAATAATATTCAACAGAAAATTTGAAAATGAACTTGATATTTGCAGCCCTAAACAACTGTAGACAAGAACTGCGATCAGGTTAATCAGCTCAAATAACTGTACTGATCCCTCAAAACACCTCCCTAAAACTGTGCTTCAAGGTATGGAAGGAAAACACATTATGATTCACACTGACATTAATATTTATACCTTGGCATCTAAACAATCTATGCTCTTACTCTCCATACCACATGAAGGAATCCCTTCTAGATACTTTGAGCTTACACACAATGACCTTCCCTCACTATGAGCCACAATAAAAGAATGTTAGACAAAAGACAAAACTAGGTCAATTAGCTCACAGCCTGCTGGTTCATAGCTCCGTCAATATCGCTAACTGAGATATCTTTGATGAATGTTAGGTAACATAATGCCAGCATGGCCATTACATTAATCAAGAAAGTGTGCATGCACCTGCTAAATGTTATCTAAATCTAGACATTTTACAACGAATTCTCCACCGTACAGTGCCAGAAACTTACCACACAAAAAAATGAATGGCGTGTTTTACATTAGGGTTTGTTTTTTGTCTTTTACTACTACATTAATCAAACATTAATCTTACCGTATGATCTCTGCGTACTCTCTGTCCTTCCCCTTGCTGTCTCTCCATTTGCGGTACATGACCGAGGCGTCCACGTTAGCAGGGGAGAAAGTGTTGGGCTCATTCAACAAGGATATGACACTCAGTAGGATAGTCCTGAAAAACATAACAGACAACAAGATTACTATTACCGCATCATAAAATGGTCTTGGTGGTCCTCGGGCCTATAGAGCACTTTATGACATGAAAATCAAAAGAAAAATGACTGACTTAGTACTAAGAAAGAAATAAATGACAAACAATATTAATACAAGCCAGTACCAGCGCACAAAGCAGCTTCATCTGTTTTCTGGCCCCTTGCTTCTAGAAACAATAGACTACCTTGACGCTCTATTTTATATAGCCTAACGTTAAGGTCAAAAAAGAACAGAGAAACATCTTAAGTCTTACTTTCACCTACTTGGGTGCTAAGACAACATTGTTTTTATGACATATATAATAAAATTATATATACACACATGATAAAATTACATATATAGTGTGTTATTTTATATATATTTTATATATGGTGAAACAGGGGGAGCGACATCTACGTAGCAAATATATTTCATATAATGGGGGGGTTTCTTTGATGATTATTTTGTCTGACAGTGTCCTGGACATACCACTCCTCCATAAATGTTTTGAAAAAACAGGCCAAAGTGTGACGAAGTTTATCACAAAAGTTTCAGACATCAGACAATGTATTTATAACCATTTCATGCAATAACATTCATACATCTGGTTCCTATCACAACCACTGTGAGCAATTCTGACTGTAGGAATGAAGCATTTCACATCAAACCACTCTGACATACTCTGAATTTGTTTACAAGTTTAATTCAATAATGCTGATATTTTGAAAAATCAATTGAATTAAAAAGTTGATTATGTTAAAGGAGAAGAAATGTGTGACAGTAAATCAGAGCTGAGAGTTGTGTTGAGATCATTCTGAAACATGAGCTACCAGATGACACGCTGTTTTTTTTTGTTTTTGTTTTTTTTTAAATACATATCAGAAAAAAAATATGTCCTTCAGTGCTTAGTGACAGGTGCTCTTTAAAAGTACACACACGCAAATAAACCAACAGCAAAACCGGCAGCAACTTCCAGGAAAGTATGAGATTTTCCTCTGACGCTAGAGAGATATGTGAAACCCGATATGAGAAGCTTGAAGCAAAATGAAGAAGAAAATCTAGGACAGGAAAGACTTGTAGACACTTCCTACCACAAAACCAAAATAGATAAGCACACTGTTCTACACAGACAGAGCAAATTAGAGGAGAGCAGTTTTAGCTGAGCACAGATGAAGAAAGTCATGTCAGCTGATTATTTCTTTATCTGTGCTCAGTTAAAACTGTTCTATACAGACTGAGAGTAAATAAGAGGAGAACAGAGCACAGAAAGAAATAATCAGTTGGCATAATAAAACCAATTTGCGACATCAAAATGAGAACAAGACAAAATAAAAGCTATTACATGGCTGGTATGATAGAGGCCCCTATGATTCAATCCCAGAAAACTGGCAAAACAAGTGCGCACACATGAACACAGAGCAAAACAAGGCGTGACTAGGGCTACGCGAGCCGTTTCTTCACCTGACGTTCTGTGTTGGGTTCCACCTCTCAGAGGGCAGCTCTCCACTCTGCGGGTCGTCTACTGGAGGGTGAAGGATAGAGATACACACATCGCCATTCTGAAAGACAAACACCAGCGCAGATGTTAATTCACAAAGCTTAAAGTGTATTGTAGCTACTGTAACAAAGACTTGTTTAACTACATAACTTGCATAGTAATAAGCAATATACTGGCTCAACTTCTTCTACAGGAATGAGTTTTATTATCATCTTTTTACCGGTATACCACAAATAAGGAGTGTACAAAGGTTATCCCATTAAACTGTCTAAATCTGCCTAGAGGGATATTTCAGACACATTTTCTTTTTTCAGACACAACTGAAAAGAAAAAAAGAAACTGCAGAAGTCTCACACCAGTCATGGCACTTTTGTCAAGGCAGCGGATATTAGCAAAAAATATGTAAAGAATGGCACCAGCCTGTTTGCCACGCTTCTGTTTCCTCTCACACCCCTTGCAGTGCCAACTCAACCACAGCAACTCTAAGAATCCACAGATTAACAGCTGATTCTGATAATGTGAATGGCTGTAATATTTACCAAGTTCCAGCAGTGTCAAACAGTAAGCATGTAAGTGATGTATGGATAATACATGTATGACACAAATGACTTGAGAAACTCAGATGCGAAACGACTAAAAATGTGCATTCAGATTAATTTTAATACTCAAGTATCTATAAGAGTTCATGAACGGATAGCCGGTTAACCGCAGAGACAGAAAAAGCAACAACCAAAAACAGACTTCGACCAAAATCAGTGTAGGGCTGTAGGCTTGCTTTTTTAGATGATAGCACAGGTAGTTATGATTTGAAAATATAGTTTACTGTTCAAAAACATTGGTACATTTTTGCATTGGATGAGTAATGGAGACTGCCTCAGCCTGAAGCTAACGAGCTAACACTGGTGCCATGTTGGACTCCTCATCTTCTTGAACATGTTCACTGTTTATGGACCTAGCTAAGCTCAGCTGGAGTATTTAGCTTAACTAGCAAAAAGACCATGACAGAGCTGGCTGTGATATGTCTGCCTTCTGAGTTGCATGCTTAACAATGCAATCACACTGATGCACTCATGTTTCATAGTAGCAAAGTATAAAATAGCTGCAAAACTGCTACATTTTACAGTTCTGCCAAAAAACAAAAATCGGCATTTCCCTAACTTCTTAGCCTCTATATTTTCTCTGCTGTCCCTTGACGAAACATAGCGGTTAACCGAGTACTCGAGTGCATGTCCCTAGAAACAACATCAAGCCCTGTTTTTTTTCTGGGTCCAAAGAAGCTGCTGCGTACATGTATGTGCTAGAGATACATCTATATACTGTTCATGCTTTACTATTTTCACAACAAAGGTTTTTAAATTCTGAGTAAAACTAATGTGACATATAATTGAATATACACACCATGCTACATATCAAAACAGTCAGAACCAGTGCCGTGGGAGCCATTCAAATTACATGACAGCTTTTGTGACTATACTTGCCTGCTTTTATTTTGATGGATTGGAGCCTGGTGTAAGTAGTTTACTTGAGAATTGCCAGGGAGGGTGTTACGCAGTGTTTTGAATGGTTCTGATTGTATGTTTGAGCCTTGGGCTCTCTTTGGTCCTTTGCTTTGTGTTCTGGAGAGGCACTCTAGATATACTCTTTCTCAGAAGTGAAGGACTGGTTCAACATAAAAAGGCAAGAAAAACATGCTTTTTCTCCGGAAGGCACTCTGAATACCGTACATTCATATTATTCAGAAAGCCTAGAAATGCTGCCAAGTCAGGTCATAACTGTTTGCCTCGTTCGCCTCGTTCATCCACTCCCAAAGGCCATTGTCCCCTCAACTCTCACTCTGTACATTGCGAGTGTTATTGGCAAAGTTATTTACAACAGTAAGAGGCTTACATTACAGACTGTCTGATATACCTAGGGCTATCGATTATCGATAGGGTTATTGCAGAACTAATCAGAATTGAGTTAATTTACAGATTATTTTGACAGTTAATTGAGTAAAGTTTTTTTGTCTGTTTTTTTTTTGTTGAACAATAAAAACCATGCAGAGTATTTTAAAGCTTCTGAAAAAGATAAACAAAAAGAGACCCAACAAAAAGAGACCCAACTGATTCATTTTTTATTATTTACATCCGTTTCAACCGAGCAATGATGACAGTCCTAATATTCTTATAATTTAGCATAAACAAATGGTGAACTAAGCAATCATTTCTGTATTACTTAACACTATGTTGTTACTTCCACTCACATCATTTGATTATTGCAGCAACAAACTATTAATAGACTGCAAATGGGGTGAGAAGAGTTTAAAACCTAGGATGACGTCCAACACCTGCCATGGAGTAAAATCACATTGGTAACATGACAGTGTGATGTGATAAAAACACACTCTTACCTCATAGATGTTGGGGTGCCACATCTTAGTGAGGAATCTGAAGGCGGGTGGGGAGTAGGGGTAGTCGATAGGGAACTTGATACGTGCCTGGAGTGAAGAAAAACAGCCAATGTTCACCAAGAAGACTAGAACAAACACTGTAACGAGGAGAATTAAATAAATAAGCAAAGTAACTTAGGGAATCAACTCGAGCCTGGGCATCAAGCACCACAGCCACAGACCTAATCAAGACTGATTTTACGCCTTACACTGACAGACAAGGCAGCCCGACGGTGCTGTGAAGTTCAAGACCATTTCAAATCCATTAACGCCCCAACGGAGCGAAGTGATCAGGCACGGCCTGCCTCCCTAATAAAGAGACACTGGCTGGAGGCGGCCGCTCCCTCCCTAAGCAGGGCGGTCGGGAGACACTGGGACAGCCGCTGATAATTGGATTGGAGATGCATTACAACTCAGGGAAACAATGCAGATGGGCCAGTGGGGAACGGAGCAAACGAAAACAAAAACGAATTAACAACTGGCCTTGAAATGAAAAAACAGGGTTGAATCAATGCTAGTACATTTTTAGGCAGTAAGACAACTAGGTTAATCTGTCGTTACATAAGGGTACTGCGCTCTGTTGAACTCGATCCAGGCCCAGTGCTTTTAAAACATAGCTACTATCAAATAACTGTCACTGAGACACAATACTTGGGGACAGACACAGAGTCTTGAAAGTAAAGCTATTTCAAGGAAGTGCAGCTAACAATTCAAAAATAAGAAAAAAAAAGAAAGTCATCCTCCATAAATACACAAAGATTTTCTTTATGATAAAATTCTGATGAGATGATAAAAAAAGCCCTTATGTAGAGCTTCCTCAAAATGAAAAGTGAATATTTTCCAACCTACAGGCACCTCACAACTCGATTTGATTTCGATTCACGTCATTTGCGATTACAAAACGAGCATCTTGAGTTTTGATGTCTATCCCCTACTATGGGTGGGAAAAATAATCAATTCTTAAATGAAATGCAATTCTCCCTGGAATGATTGATACACAAAACATCACATTATGACCTTAGACATTTGCATGAAGCTTGTATTCAGAAATATGTCAAGAGTACCAAACATTTTTGATAAAAAATAAACACTATAGGCTATACTGTATTCAATGTGCCATACAAAAAGAGATCAAATAAAAAAAATATATTTATTTTTTATTTATTTTTTTTTAAGTTTAAACCCATTCAATGGTGGAACAAAAATATAGTCCTGTAGACTTATTAAGAGCTCTTTGTGTGGGGTGCATTCAAATTCAACTAAGCTATAGCTACATATGAAGATGAATAAATACTGAGGTGGGAAAAAGATATAAGCTATAAAAATCAGAAACCAGGATGCATTGTGAATAGCTTAGTTTAGTTGAATGTGACTGTCATCTGTATACAGTGCACTTGTTACCCCTTTATCTAATAAGTTTGAACCAAAAACACATAATTCAGTATTTTTTCTGACATCTTTTGTTATTTGTGTAACATTGTAAACTGTATAGACTTCAGTGATTATTTTTATCATAAATATTTGGTTCTGATAAAATGTTTCAATATTAAACACATTTATTGTGCAAAGATCCGATTATAATGTTTTGCGCATCGATGCAGAACCTTTCTGCAGAGAATCGTGATGCATCTAAGAACCGTTTTTCTTTACGAGAAGAACTGTCATCGTCTCCAGCTTTGTGCGGGTTTCTAACAAAGCACAGCTTATCCTGGTGAGCAGTGAGAACAGTTGCAAGCAGCACTATTGGTTCTGGTGCAGCACCCCAGGGGGCCCTGCAGGTTGGTTTGCACTCGGAGGGGGAGCAGCTCACACTTCCAGCTCTGTCACTGTTCAAGTCTGAGCACGGCCCTGTATCCAGCCCCAGCAGAAGGCAATGACGCCACTGAATCTGCCAAGCCCACTGTGCTGTACCAGGGTAAACAAAGGCAAGGACTGAACTTTCATCAGCATGACCTAGTTTAAAAAAAAAAAAATCCCTTCATAACAATCCACTCACTTCTGCCATAATAATCCCAGGCCTGCTTGGAACTGATTAAATAATTCACAGTAGAATCTAACCAGATGTAGATCTAGTAATTATATCTCCACCGGAAAACACTGGTGAGACAATGAGCCTATTATTTAGGATCCAGGTCCTTATTGCTTGCTGAGGAACTGAAACTTGGGTCGATTTCTCTTGGTTTGCATATTCTTCTTCTTACTTCGGGCAAACTGTCACATATTAGGAAAGCAACAAAAGGGACAGAACAATATAAAGGTGAACCAAGCGTTTGGCCACAGATTTGTATAGAGGTCAGGTATGAAAAGGTTAAACAATTCGCAGCCCAAAGGTTACAGTGAGACTGCGTGTATTTAATTTTAGGTCATGAATACAAGGGACCCAAAAGTGATCAGTTCCTTTAGAGCTTTCAAAAATCAAACAGTGTAAAACGGAAAAGCAGAGCAACTTTTAAGCATCATCTTACTGCCTTACACTTAATCTCTATGTACTTCTAAACAGCCAAACATAACGTTACACAGGGTACAGCTACTGGATGGTGGCATTGTTGACAGAGAAAGAACAGGAACAAAGAAGCAAATAAGTGCCTGGCGAGGCAGCGAACCCAGCTAGGCTATACCACTAATCCAAACCTGCTTGACAGATTACATATATTTAAAGGCACTAATAACTCGCTTGGTTAAATGTAGATGGTTAAATAGTGCTAAATAACCACCGTTTGGGTTTCATATATGTTTTAAGAGCACCAAAAGCCTTAAAGCTAGCTCTGCTGAGGGCTTCACACTATGTGGGCAGCCGAGTAGCTACATCAGGCTAAATATAGGCTGCTAAATATAGCGTTAGCTGGCTAAATGGTAAACGGCTGAAATCACATCTCGTACGAATAACAGTATACTGACAATATGAAGCGCGTTAACCTACCTTGAAATAACCCCCTTCGTAGAGTGTATTTGGGGGTCCGAAAATGGCTACTTCCCAGTTGTACAAATCTGCCTCGTCCACCAGTGTTATTTTGAAGCCTTCGACTGGTTCCTCCTGAAGACTTTTCATTTCGAGCATTAACGCTTTTTGCGAACTCGCGACGTGAGACGTACTGTGCTGAGCCATTTCTGAGATATTTTTTTAAACGAGTTAACAAATGAGTATATGTGGAAGTGGAAAGACGTCTGAGCTAGCGCTGTCTTACGCCAGCCAACTCAAACTAAGCTAAGCGGAGTTGCGCTAGCTGGCTTTTGTGTGGTAGCTAGCTCGCTAGCTCGCAAGCTACACAAAAACGTCTTTTGTTTGTTTGGAGTTCCCTACGACTAGCTTAGCCAGCCTGCCAGCGAGCTAAAACAGACGCCGAAATGCCTTTAAATGTCCCACTTTCCGCACAATTAAACGAATAGTTTTCAGCTATCTACCATTATACATGTTCTGCCCTGCGCCCATGTAAACAACAAGGTCAGAGTTCCCTTCGTGCCAAAATATATGAGCGAACCAGCAAAGCGAATCCGATTTGTTTTCGCAGCAAAGCTGGAAACCACAGAGCTAGTCAGCTTAGACTGTACAGTTCGCGACGACCTGGCTACTGTAGTCACTGAGTCTGTTGAACAGCGTTTCTTAAAGCGTATAGACCTCTTACGAAGCTCGAAAGCGATCTAAAGTTTCGCTGAGGAGAAATCTGAGTGAACGAGTAAATTTGTTGAGTGACTATTCGCCGTTGGTCGATTTGGCAGACTGGCTCTGATGTGTTTTTTTTCCTCTGTTCCACTCGTCAATAAATTTGCAGTGTACTCTGGGTAATGAAGTTCACAAGGCGATAACTCCGCCTCCGACTTCTGAACACTGAGAAAAATAATACAAGAAACAATAACACTATGATTTTTATAAATCACTACATTTATTACATTTTGCTCCTCTGTGACGAAACTCCGTGGAGCTGTGACGTAAAATCTAACGTTATATCCCGTCGGTAGTGAATCATACTTAACAGGAAATACTGCAGACTGAATTCTCAAGCCTGTGCTAGACTGAACATGCTGAGATGTGTGGCAAGAGTTTGTCTTTCTTCAAAGACCGTAGCATGTGTAATAATGTAGTTTGTAGCACCATGTCCAAGCACTTGTTTCTGGTTAAAGGGGAATTCCGTCGAAAAAAAATTACACAATTAAATGGTGAAGATTCAGAATTGGAGAATCAGAGTCAGAATTGTTCACAGTGGTGCTGATAGGAACCAGACGTCCACCTCTAAAATCTCCCTCACAGAAAGTTACTACACAAAATGGTTATAAATACACTGACTGATGTCTGAGACAATGTTTTATGATAAAGTTTTGGCTTAAAATGTACTTTAATTCATTTATTTTCATTCATTCTTGGTGGAAAGTTACATGCAGGGTGTTGTGAGGCAAAATAGTCCCCAAAGAAAGAGATTTAGCACTTTTTAACCATCATCATCATTACATGTAAAAACTCAAAATGTTCTCTGGTGGTTTTGGATAGTAAATAAAATGTGTTATAGACATTGTGACCTCTGGTTCTTATCACCACCACTGTAAAGAAAAGCAGAGTTTGTAAGTTTCTCTATAGCTTTTCTACAATTTCACACCAAACCACTCTGAATGAAATGTTCTGTCCTAACTATAGGGTGCTTTTAATAAAGAAATGTGGCTTAAAATGTTTTGTTAGAACTAATAATGTTATTAGTTTACCTAGGCAGGGAATAGATATAAGCAATAGACAAAAATTCACATCCTCTTTATTTTCTCTGTTGACCAAATGCCCTGATAGTGGGGCAACAAGCTGCTTTACAATATTTTCTTTAATGTACTGTCAAGTTTATTTCCCCTAACTGTGTGTTTTTTATGTATTATCACCCTGTATATACTAGACTCATGTACAAATATGGTCACAGTAAATGAACACTAAGCCTCATTCACCAACCACTGAAATTTCTTCTTAAAACCCACTTACTCAGTTTTTACGAGAATCTGACATTCATCAATGTTTTCTTATTTGGGATTTGGGATACTGCACAGGAACACAAAGGTGTGAACAATTATGCAGTGTAAGAACACATTATAAATCACATCAAGGACCTTTCTTAAGAGTGAACTTAAGAAAAGAACTTAGGAAAATCAGTGAATGAGGCCCATTGTTTATAAGGGAGGCATTTCCCCCTTATATTCCAGAGGGCCGTAATCCAGCACTGTTTCGTGATTTTCCTGCACAAATGAACCTAATTCAGCTCATTTAATGACTAGGTTTACTAGGTAAAAAGCAGGAAAATTACAGGGGAATATTGTTTTACAATAGTTTTGAGAGAAGGTTTTGGCCTAAAAAGTATTTTTCAGAATGGTAAGGCATTGTAAGGCAAAACAGTGCCCAAATGCATTTTGTCAGACTTATCAACTTATTTTTATCAACATTACAATTAAAAACTCAGAAGATACATGTAAGTTCACTGGTCATCTTGGATAATTAATAAAATGGCTATATTTCTGTTACAGACCTCTGGATCCTATCACCACCACTGTCACCACTCTAAAGAAAATATGAGTCTGTATGTTTCTCTACAATTCACATTAAACCACACTGAATGACTTTGTTCACATCTCAATGACTGAATTATGCTTTCTGAAAAATCAGTCAAATTCCCTTTTTCAAATCCCCTTTTTAAATGAAAGGTTTGCACAATTTTCTCTTTACCCCCCCAAACACAGTGAATTAGCCAAGACATGTTTCCTATCTAAAACGTCTTTAGTTTTGCACTGGAACTACAAGGCTAATTTAACAGAAGTCTATCTACTGATGTAGCTGATGACTACGTTTTAGCTACATTAGCCTCCTAGCTCCAGTGCTGAACTAAGGAAGCAAACTTGGACACCAAACATATCTAGGCCGATTGACTACAATTGGATGAAGTGGAAAACTGTGTAAATGCGATTCTACAGTCTTCACAATGCATAATACATACTTTATGTCCAAAAGTATTCAGATATGGCTTCTCATGAGTGATTTAAGCTACTTTTGGGTGCATCCATTGATGATACAGGAGTTCAGTTGCACACACAAAAGCACTGCCAATAGAATGGGATGCTCTGGAACCACCACACAAGGCCTAAGATCACCATGCCTAATGCCATGGACTTATGGAGCTCCATTCAGTACCTTTGGAGTGAGTTGTAGTGGAGTTGGTGATCCAAAATTAATCATCCGATATCAGTAAGAGGCTATTCATGAATGTACTGAGGGTGATCGCATGGACTTCATATCATAATATTAATATACACTAACCAAGCACTTTATAAGGAACACTATACTAATACTGGGTAAGGCCTTCCTTTGCTCAAAACAGCCTCTATCTTTGTGGCATGGATTCTACAAGATTTTGGAAACACTATTTTGAGATTCTGGTCCATGCTGACATGATCACATCATGCAATTTTTGCATTTTTCAGGTGCACTTTCATGCTACGAGTCTTCCATTCTACCACATGCCGAAGGTGTTCTATTGGTGTTCATGAAACTAGTTTGAGACGACTTTTGCTTTGTGACAAGGTGCATTATCATGCTGGAAGCAGCCATTAGAAGATGGTAAATTGTGGCCATGAAGGGATGCACATGGTCAGCAACAATTCTCAAATAGGCTGTGGCATTCAAGTGATAATTGATTGATATTAAAGTTGTGCCAAAGTGTGCCAAGTATGCTAAGAAAACATTCCACACAACATTACACCACGTCCACCAGCCTGGACACAAGGCAGTTTGGGTCTATGCATTCATGCTGTTGGTGACAAATTCTGACCCTACCATCTGTGTGTTTCAGCAGAACTCAAGATTAATCAGACCAGACTACATTTCTCCAGTCTTCAGCTGTCCAGTTTTGGTGAGCCTGCACCCACTATATTTTGTTCTTGACTGACAGAAGTGGAACTTGATGTGGTCTTCTGCTGTTGTAGCCCATCCTCCTCAAGGTTTGACATGTTGTGCATTCTAAGATTCTTTTCTGCTCACCACAGTTGTACAGAGTGGTTATCTAGAGCAGGTACTATTTGGGTGGTGGATCATTCTCAGCACTGCAGTAACACTGATGTGGTGGTGGTGTGTTAGTGTGTGTTGTGGATCAGACACAGCAGTGCTGGAGTTTTTAAACAGTATGTCCACTCACTGTCCACTCTATTAGACACTCCTACCTTGTCAGTCCACCTTGTAGATGTAAAGTCAGATACAATAGCTGGATATTTTTGGTTGGTGGACTATTCTCAGTCCAGCAGTGACACTGAGGTGTTTAAAAACTCCAGCAGCACTGCTGTGTCTGATCCACTCAGACCAGCGCAACACACACTAACACACCACCACCACATCAGTGTTACTGCAGTGCTGAGAATGATCCAACAACCAAATAGTACCTGCTCTGTGAGGGTCCATGGGGGTCCTGACCACTGAAGAACAGGGTAAAAGGGGGCTAACGAAGTATGCAGAGAAACAGATGGACTACAGTCTGTAATTATAGAACTACAATAGTAAATGGAGCTGATAAAATGGACAATGAGCGTAGAAACAAGGAGATGGTCATAATGTTATGTCTGATCGGTGTGTATGGCCATATATCAGATCTGGGAAGTTGCCTTTGTGAGTGTGATTTAGTTTCCATTATTTATTTCTGTGTTTTATTTTATCCGCCCATGTATTCTGGTGAATTAAATACATAATTAAAAATGACAGTATTAGTCAGCTGGTTCTATTAACCAAATGTAGTCAGTTTTAGCTCATCACAGTTCATATTGTGCTCCTGAGCAAAACATGTACCTTACAGTGTGCGAAAGAGGCCTAGTAACGTTAGTTGGTGACTGATTTGAAGATAAATTGGTAACAAAATCTGAACATATGTTTATAAAATACCCTTTTTCATTTCAAAATATAGTGCTGTAAAGGATAAAAATGAAAGCTGTCAAAGATGGTTTTTAATAAATAATGCAATCAATCGTCTGATTTTGAACTTTTATTTTGGAAAAAGGTGACTTTTGGTAGCAACGTTGGAGCTAAATCTCTTTGAAATCTCGGGCTTCACTTTTGCCATCACGGCTAGCAAAACAGCTAGCCGAGCCCTGAAGCTGGCCGATCTCTCGCAGGATTTTCCAAGATGTTTTTAGGGACTCAGGCTGAACACCGGGGAGAGGGTTTGGTGTCTTCTCATATGTAGGTGCCTAGACTCTGTTCAGAGCTCCAGCGAAGTGTTGGTAAGTGGTGGTATGAGATTTATGTAGCCGAGCCAGCCCGGCTGTAGGTTAGCTATGCTAGCTAACGGTTTGAGTTCGCTTATTTAGCTAGGTTTGCACCATTAGCGACCGTCGTGTATTCCAGCCAACGCTGAAATAATTTAAAGAATTTATAAGCATGTTCGGCGCCCATGTAGTCTCCTTGGGGGAATTTAGATAGAAAAATAAATGATTCATTTGTGCGACAGGAGAAAAATCATATATATGTTTATTAATTTAGCTAGTTAGCAGCTAGAATGCTGTCAGTTTTACCAGCTGGCCGCGGCTCGTTAAATGGACTTTCTGTTGGCGATATTTCAGTAACACTTAAAAAATAAGGGTTCTTCAGTAAAGGCAGTAATTCTGTTTAGAAACATGAGCTCTATACAGAACAATTTCATGCTTAAATGGTTCTTTGAATGGTGAAATGTTTTTTCAGATTGATGGACAATGTGTTGTGTGGTTCTGTATGGAACCTGTTTGAAAATGGCTCTGTATAGCACCAA